CAGAGACAGGCAGATCTCTGTGAGTTCAACCAGGCTGGCCTACCTTGTCAAACCTGTCTCAAAACAAGCTTTAAAAATGATTACTTTGGTTTTGATTTTTTTCCACTTTCTTGATTTTGTAATCCATACTGAAAAGTGTTTAATTTTTCTTTTAAATAATGTTGCTGTTGAAGTTTCTCAAACCCAGCTTGCCACCTTCAGGCAACTTCAAGATTTACAGAGACCATAGCTAGAGATAAAATGTTCATTTTTGCATCTTTCTCAAAATTCCTTAATTAATAGTATTTTGATCTAGTAGAACCTTTGTATTCTTCTTTGTCTTGAAGCTGTATCTAGCATGTATTGGTATTTCCTCAACTTCCAACGCTTAGTTTGTTTGTTGCTAGCCACAAATAGTTTCTCCATCATTCTAGCTCCATTGTGTTCCTCAGATCGTCTCCTCCATAATATGTGCTTTCAACACCATGACCACAAACCGGTGAGCCACCTTGCTGACCCCTGCTTACTTTTAAAAGAGATCTACATCCGAGGATGGCTTGTTTTCTTTCTTTCTTTCTTTTTTTTTCTTTTTTTGGTTTTTCGAGATAGGGTTTCTCTGTATTGTTTTGGAGGCTGTCCTGGAACTCACTCTGTAGACCAGGCTGGCCTCGAACTCACAGAGATCTGCCTGCCTCTGCCTCCCGAGTGCTGGGATTAAAGGCGTGCGCCACCAACGCCCGGCTTGGCTTGTTTTCTTGAATCCCTTCCATTGGATCTTTTCTAACAACCTCAAAAATTCCTTTTCTAGTCCACTTGAGAGTTCTTTATCCTTTCTGTCAATCCTTGCCTCACCACACCTCCCGTCTCTTTGTATTCTCACAAGGCCCAGATACTGATGAAATACAGGAGGCTTGAGTTGGGTCCTTTGCTCAGGAACACCCTTGGGTCTTTGTTTTTGCCTTGGTGAGAGTTGGGGAGGAAGGTCCTCACTTTACCAGCCAAATGAAAAAAATGTGGTGAGGAAGGAAAATACAGAGAATCAGACTGATCTTTAAGGCTTGAAATTTGTAAATTTATAATACCAAACTCCACAATTCTTAAAATGTGACTTCTTCCATGCCTGTTTCAATACTCCTAAACATGTTCTGCTATATCTCATGCAATTTCACCAACCAAGTCTTTTCTTTTTGAGGCAGGGTCTCTCTTTGTAGCCTTGGTTGGCTTGGAACTTGATGTGTAGACCAGAATGGCCTCAGACTCACAGAGATCCTCCTGCCTCTGTTTCCAAGAGCTGGAATTAAAGGCATGCACCACCATGCCTATCCAAGCGTTTTCCCAATCATCACATAGACACTGGCACCTCTAACATTCCCTTCTTTTCTCTTCCTTCTACTTACCTCATTCATTCTAACCAGTGATCAACAAACTCATGAAGTATGTTTTCAGTCTGTATTCTAATTATTTTTTCACCCATGTACAGTACAGATTCTGTCTGCTTCTTTTTACATAAACAAAACAATCCTTACTTTAATAAAATTAGTGAACTTTACAAAAATCCATGTATTTTGATACTATTTTTTACTCTTTCTATGAACCATGAGCCATCAGGTTCTGTTATGGTGTTTGTAACTCTGTTAGCTATTATATAAATAACATACATGATATTTTTGCTTCATGAATTGCTTTTACTTTAAAATAGTCAATTATTTGTTATTACGTGTGTGAGTGTGTACAATGTGGGGGGGTGAGTGTGCACAAGTGCTTTTACTCACTATTGCAATCTAGTGAATGAAAATTTTGGGGCTCTTTAACCATCACAGCAAGGATCCTGTATTTCCCTTTCTTTCCTGAAGATGATGTAATCATGTTGTTGTATTTTTGTAAGTCTTTACAATTGAGTCCTCAATGCTCAGAAATAGAGTGCATGGAATCAAGAATGTTTTAAAAGACTGCACACTGAAGCAATAGCAGCGAGGTGCAATCCATACTTCTTTTTCTTTATTTATCTCTTCTTTTGATCTTTCTCCTGATTCAAAGGTAAGTAGACATAGATTCAATGATGTTGGGAATGCAGAAGTTTCTTTCAAATTCAACCTACACATTTCCCCTTTTCACTCTGTGTTTGTGTTTAGTTTGCTACTGTAATTTGTAAGCCCAATGTTCAAGAAATAACCTTTCCATTAGGAATAGCTCTAGGTCATTAATGGTGACATATTTTATGTGGCCTTGGCTGTGAAAATAACAGTTAACATTTGGACTCTCTGCTTTTTATTTTCCTTCATTCTTGGCTTATGTAGAATTCCCCTCTGTATGTTATGAATATGTTTCATTACCATTGGCTAATAAAGAAACTGATTTGGCTAACAGCCAGGTAGAATAGAGCCAAGCAGGAAATCCAAGCAAAGATCCTAGGAAAAAATAGGCAGAGTTGGGGAGATGCCAGCAACCACTAGAGAAGCAAGATGTGTGGTAACAAGCCTTGTGGTAAAAATATGAACTAGTAGAAATTGGTTAATTTAAATGTGAGAGCTAGCCAATAATAAGCCTGAGCCATCAGCCAAATAATTATAATTAACATTAAGCCTCTGAGTGGTTATTCAGGAACTGGTGGGCAGTAGAGAAATTGTCCCTAGGTGGTTTTCAATGCATTAAGTCAATTCTATAAGAGTTACAAACATTGGAAGAAAATGCCTCATTTAGGCAATACCATTTCTCACTTTGGTATAGTGTTATTAGTCTGATTTTGATTCTTAGCTTTCTTATCTCTCTTTTTTGTCACAAAGAGAAAGCTTTGGAAGTTTCATCCTCACATGTGAAAACCAGAAAATAGTAACATCTAATCCCATCACCCTTGACAGGCAAATCTCTGTGAGTTCAAGACCTACATATTGAGTTCCAAGCTATCCAAGGCTATATAGGAATATATAGTTAGTCCTGGCCCCCCCCTGCCAAAAAAATAAAGAATACTTTTGTCTTAAACATTTAACTACAAATTGCTTTGCAAATGGTAACCATTATTGGTTTGAAATGATTCTGCTTATTTTCTGGGCAAGTGGCTTTGTGAAATAGCTGGTCCTGTACTGAAATACTGAGTCATCAATGCCTTCATAGCATTGCCACAAAGGTATATTTTGCTCTTTTCTGACACAATAGTTTGAATTCCCAATAGAAAGCAGAAGGTTTGGAGATGGTTTTAATGCTTTGGAGGAACCTAGTTGTTTTCTCATTACCATGGCTATTGCTGTTACCAAAGCTGTTAGAAGGTTACACTGATTTGCTATCATTCAAAATATGATAAATTTGCACTTTAAGAGTTGTTGGTCGCCGGGTAGTGATGGTGCACGCCTTTAATCCCAGCACTCGGGAGACAGAGGCAGGTGGATCTCTGTGAGTTTGAGGCCGGGCTGGACCGACAGCCTCCAAAACAATACAGAGAAACCCTGTCTCGTAAAACCAAAAAAAAAAAAAAAAAAAGTTGTTGGTCAGTTCCATTGAAAAGGAATTGGTACATATACTCTTTAAAACAAAGTCTTGAATTCTAGTAACTGTATGTCTTTTTCAGCTTGGTCAAAGAGTTGGGTTGAGAGGTGAAGTGGTAGATTTCTGTTGCTTTCCTGTAAATTTTGATTAATTTTAACAGCAGGAACTATTGAAAAGTGCAAGAAGAAGAAAGGATGTGATGACATATACTTGTAATCCCAGCACTTGGGTAGCTGAGGCAGGAAGATCATGAGTTCTAGGTTAGCCTGGGCTACAGCTACATGGTGAGTGTGTGTGTGTGTGTGTGTGTGTGTGTGTTTGTGTGTAAGAGGCAGTTGTCTTCACATGTTTTTACAATTGACTTTACTTAAAGAATCAGCAGGTATTTTAACTGAAGGACTGGTCCAGATCATCTCTCCTTCCTTTTCTTCCCTTCCCTTTATTCCTCTCCCCACCCCCTTCCCTTCATGTCTTTCTCCCTCTCCCATTCATCCACCTCCTCTTTCTTTAAGACAGTCTCATTCTGTACTCTAATGGTGGCTTGGAACTCATAGCAATTCTCCTGCCTCAGCTTCCTAAGTACTGGAGCCATGGATGCAAACCATCACACTCAGCTTTGATAAAGTTTATGTGTGGTTCTGGGGATTGAACACATAGATGTGTACTTTACCATTTAACTATACACCAAGCCCCCAAAATACCTTTTCTGACACACACACACACACACACACGCGCGCGCGCACACACACACCTCGGATACTGTGTATCTGTAGGATTTTCAGCAGTTCTGTTTCCTAAGGAATTTACACTTCCATTAAAAGCCAGCTTATGTCTAAAACACGTTATTTATTGATCTATCCTCAACAAATCTTGATTGTCCACCCGAGTCACTGCTACCTGCAGGGTGTACAACGAACAATAGCGTTCTTAAAGTTTGCCTCCCGTGGTCTTTCCCAGCGACTGGGAGGGCATGGAAAACATGCAGATAAACGTAAATGCAGAGTTCCGTGAAAGAGCGTGATAATCTAAGGTTTGAAAACCACAGAACTAGAAGTTGGCGGGAAACTCAGTTACTGTGTGTCTTGATAAGGAGATAGGACAGTGAGTTGCCCAAGGTCACAGTGTAGGATGGCTGCAGCTCCTGGGAGAGGGTCAACTAGAATGATGTGTACGGAAACAGAGGAGACTGTGGTGATGGCGTGGCACCTAAAGGACGAGTAGCTCTGCCTTATGTCACCCTAGAAGTTTTTTACAAAAGGAAAAAAAATACCCAAACAAACCGGGAACCAGCTCCAGGTGCTAGGCTTCGCAGCTCAGGGGAGGCACGTGGCAGTGGGCGGGACGCCTCTGGGGGCGGGGCTTCGGGGCCCCCAAGAGCGCGGGCCTGTGTGCATCCAAGCGGACGGCGCCACGTCATCGAGCCGCTCCTCCTCCCCTCGCTGCCAGTCGCACGCGCGGAAGTAAACACCCCTACGTCATCAGGGCGCGCCCTCGTCTCTCCCCTCCCATCTCCTCAGCTCGGTGGACGTGCTTGCCTCTTCTCCGGACAGGGTCTATGTCCCGGTTTCCCGCAGTCGCGGGCAGGGCGCCAAGGCGGCAGGAGGAGGGCGAACGACCAAGAGAGCTCCAGGAAGAGCGTCCGTCAGCTGCTCGCATCGCTGACAGAGGTGCGGTCCGCGGGACGCCGCGGCAACCGGCGGGAGTTATTTGCGGGGCGAAAAGTACATCTCTGGGTGGCAGAGGAGATGGGGAGGAGGCTCTGGCGTTCTCTTGGTCTGTCAAGCCTGAAGGCGAACTTTGCGTCCTTGTGAGCACTTTGCTGTAGAGGGGGGCGGTCCCAAACCCAAGTTGGGTGAAAACCTCGCCGGGGGGTAAGAAAGTGGACCCGAACGCCCAAACGCGTTCTGTTCTTCAACAACCTCATAAAGCCTTTGTTCTCTACTCGTTCATCCCCCTCCCCTTCGCCGGGCCGCCAGCCTGCCTTTGGGTACGGTATGAAGGGAGCCCGTTTCCAGGAGCCAGTTTCCATGGTTACCCACCACTTGGCCTTCTGGGATATCAGTCACTCTGAACAGGGACCTAACTTGAACCGTGAATCAGAAGCAAATACAGGTGGCTTCTTATTCTTCTGAGAGTTGTTCCACTGTGTTCAGGGTGTGGGTCTGCTGCCTAATAAAACTGAGTTTTGTGCTTCTGTGTAGGTACGCACGCATTCATGCTGCCTAGTGCTAGACTGACTTGTCAAGTACATTGAGTTGCACATCAACAACGTTGAAGTTGTCTGATTTTTCCCAAAAAGTTGTTGTGAGTTTATAAACTTTCACATGTGATTTGTACATAGGTGACTCAACTGAAAAGTCATGAATGGATTCTTGCAGTTGTGTGATCCCTTTGCTTTTCTTCTTTCAGTTCTGAGACATCGGCAGATCGTCACAGGTCCTTTAATTGCACAGTTGTTTTTGTGTTGTTGCAGAAGAAAAAGGATGCACATCGCAGGAGGGAGGGACAACGCCAACTTTTCCCATTCAGAAACAAAGAAAAAAGCTTATTCAAGCTGTGAGGGACAACTCGTTCCTCATTGTCACTGGGAACACAGGAAGTGGTAAAACAACTCAGCTCCCTAAATACCTTTATGAAGCAGGTAATTTTACTCTTGGATAAAACTGGAAGCATGAGAGAAACAAAACGAAACTTTTTTAAGGTGTAGTGTATAAATGGCCATTTTTGCCCTAACTTTCCCATTTCCCCAACCTCCCTATGTCTCCTTCGCTTTATTTCAGGCTCAGGAATGGTTGGTGGCTTTTTTTTCTCTTCATTTTAATTGCTGGGTGTGATGGTGCATGCTTTTGATCCCAACACTTGTTAGACAGAGGCAGGGCCTAACAGTGTACATAGTGAATTCCAGGCCAGCTTTGGATAGCAGGCAAATGCGAACTTTCTTCTCAGAATAAGGTTATCTTGTTGACCAGTGAGAACTGAAACAGTCCTGAAGGGAAATGACTGTTGATCTCTGCTGTTTTTTTATTCTTTCTTCAGAGTTTTATCAGGTAAATGTTCTCAGATTCTATCAGCATCAAGCTAACAAATTATCGATAAGGTATCTGTCTCACCAGTATGACAACATTCTGTATCATAAGGTTGGAAAGGAGCAAAATCATTTTGGATATGATTCATATTAAAATAAAAATTAATTTGGGGGGATCTGGAGAGATGGCTCAGCAGATGAGAGCTCTTGCTGCTTTTTTAGAGTCCAGACTTTGGTTTCCAGCAACCACCTGTAACTCCATCTCTGGGGAATCTGACACCCTCTTCTGGACCCCTGGGGACCTGAATGTGCACATTCAAATACAGAGATATACACACTATATACATACATACATACATACATACATACATACAGTTTGGGGGGGCGTTCGAGACAGGGTTTCTCTGTGGCTTTGGAGGCTATCCTGGAACTAGCTCTTATAGACCAAACTGGTCTGGAACTCACAGAGATCCGCCTGCCTCTGCCTTCTGGGTGCTGGAATTAAAGGTGTGTGCCGCCGCCACCACCACTCGGCTTAACAACGTATCTTTTAAACCTTAACTTTTTTGAGAATGGCTTCCATAAGCTGTTCATCCTGGCCTCCATCACGCCTGGCCCTTATATTATCCTAATGTGCTGCATCAAGCCTACTTAGACATCTGCTAAGGCACACCAATGTTTTACATGTTATTAAGAAAAAAGAGCCGGGCGGTGGTGGAGCATTAATCCCAGCACTCGGGAGGCAGAGGCAGGCGGATCTCTGTGAGTTCGAGGCCAGGCTGGACCGACAGCCTCCAAAACAATACAGAGAAACCCTGTCTCGTAAAAACCAAAAAAAAAAAAAAAAAAAGAAAAAAGAAAAAAGAGCTACCAACTATATGTTGCATCTCCATTTTCATAAATATTAGAATGACTAAAATGTCTGCAAAAATTTATGGAAAGGTGGTATATTTAAGTCCAGGTTTACCTCTGTGGCGAAGTAAAATTTAGGGAGGGTGTGGAGGGTTTTTTATTTCAGTTTTACATGTCTTTTTTTTTTTTTTAGTTTTTACGAGACAGGGTTTCTTTGTATTGTTTTGGAGGCTGTCGATCTAACCGTGCCTCGAACTCACAGAGATCCGCCTGCCTCTGCCTCCCGAGTGCTGGGATTACAGGCGGGCGCCACTACCGCCTGGCCAGTTTTACATTTCTTATGGAAGGTGCAGTGTTTATGCCTATAGTACCAGCTACTTGGGAGGTGGCACCAAGAAGATTGGTAGAGCTTAATTTGAGACCAGTATGATAATATAATGAGATGTTGTCAAAAAAGTAAAACAAGCAAAGAGACAAACCTACGGAATCCTCTACTTACTACTTAAATGTTTTTAAAAACTGAAAAGTAAGCCGGGCATTGGTGGCGCACGCCTTTAATCCCAGAACTCTGGAGGCAGAGGCAGGCGGATCTCTGTGAGTTCGAGACCAGCCTGGACTACAGAGCGAGTTCCAGGACAGCCTCCAAAGCCACAGAGAAACCCTGTCTCGAAAAAAAACAAAAAAAACTGAAAAGTAAAAACCTGAAACCTAATTACATTTAGAATGGCTATGGATGTATATTTTTTAATTAATTTCCTTTTGTATGCTATCACTATATGTGTGTATAGACACGTGTGTCACAGTGTGCATGTGAAGTCAGAGGATAGCTTTAGGGAGTCAGTTCTCTGCTACTGTGGCATCTGGGATGGAACGCAGGTCATCAGGTAAGTGTGTTTACCTGGTGAACCATCTTTTGGTCCCTGAATGTGCATTTCTGTTTTGAATTAATAGATTTGTTTGTAGTATATTTACAAACATACTATAGCATGTTGCTAATTTGGAGAATTTTCTTCTGGAAACATTCATACCATTTGTATTGACTGACCAGGAACAATTTTAATTTTTGTTCAGTAGGAAGAAACCTTTGCTAACTAACTTTGTGTGTTTCTGTTTTCTGGTTTTGATAGGGTTTTCACAATATGGTATGATTGGTGTGACTCAGCCACGAAAAGTAGCTGCCATATCAGTTGCTCAGAGAGTTGCTGAAGAAATGAAATGCACCTTGGGATCTAAAGTAGGATACCAAGTTCGTTTTGATGATTGTAGCTCCAAGGTACAAAAGTTTTACTGGTATACATTAAAAGTACTATAAACTTACATCTCTAGCCCTTATTTTGTCTTTCTGTGATGTTGTGTATGCACAGATGTGTAGAGGTCAGAGGATAATTTTTGAGTGCCAATGTGTGTGTTGTTTTTGACACAAGTCTCTCACTGACCTTGAACTCCCCAAGTGGGCTAGTTAGCTCCTTCATAAAAAGCAAATCAATAAATAATCTTAAAGGAATGGGGGTGGGGTGAGATATGGCCTGGGGAGATAGCTCAGTTGGTAAAGAACCTGCCTTGTAAACATGAGGACCTGAGTTCAATCCTCTTACTCTACAAAAAGTAAGTTTTTTGTTTTGCTTTTTACTTTTTATGAATGTATTTTGCCTGCCTGTGTATTATACGTGCATCATGTATAATGCCTAAGGAGTCCAGAAGAGGACAGCAGATGCCTAGAACTAGAATTACAGATGGTGTCTACCTTATGGTTGCTGGGAACTGAATCCCTCTTCTCTGGAAAAAAAAAAAAGTAGCAAGTATTCTTAACCACTAAGGCATCTCTCCAGCCCTTAGAATTATTTTTTGTTGCATATTGTTAAGGCTTTCTCTCTTAGGTAACTGAGACTCTTATTTTCGTCTTCCTTAACTAGTTTGTCCATTATCAAATGATAGTAATGTTTATTTTTATTTATTTATTTGGTTTTGCAAGACAGGGTTCTCTGTATTGTTTATCTTAATGTACATTTATTACTACAACAAAATAGTTTAAATGTGAATGCAATCAACACCAAGTTTGAAGAGATGGACCAGTGGTTAAGAGTACTTACTGATCTTGCAGAGGACCTTAGCTTAGTTCCCTAAACTTACTATTTTAACCATTTTAAGTATATAATTCAGGATACAGACATTGGATCCAGCACAGTTTACAATGTTCAGCTATCACTGCTATTTTCAGAACTTTTTATAGTGTCAAACAAACTGTGTATTCAGTCCCTGTAGCTCTGATCTCTGTCCATGGACATGCCTAGTCAAAGTATCTAAGTGGAATAGCACAGTATTTTTACTTTGTGCCTCTTATCACACTTTGCTGTTTTCAGAGTTAATCTGGTATATTAGTTTGGATTTTATTACTGTGATAAAATACCAACCAAAACTAAGCTGGGTAGGAGAGAGTTCCTTTGACTTACAGTTTACATACTGTCTTTAAGGGAAGCCAAGGCAGGAACCTAGAGGCAGGAATGGAAATAGGGGCCATGGAGAGCTGTCAATTGCCTTGCTTTCCACAGCTTGCTCAGTTTGCTTTTTCATACAATCTCCTAGGACCATCTGTCACAGGATGGTATTGCCTTCATCAATCATTAATCAAGAAAATGCTATAGACATGCCCAGAGGCTATCTTTGGAGACAGTTTCTCAGTTGAGGTTCCCTCTTTTCAGGTGACTATAGTTTATGTCAAGTTCACAAAAACTAGCCAACATATCCAGTTGTAGACAGAATTTCTGTTCTGCCTTCTCCTATAGCTGTTTAGTCCCAAGTAAACACATAGAGGGTTACATTAATTATAACTGTCTGGCCAATGGCTTAGGCTTCTTACTGGCTGGCTCTCTTTTAATTATTAACCCATTTCTGTTAATCTATGTATTTCTACACATGGTCTTGGCTTACCAGAGAATGCTTCAGCATGTTACTCCTTTGGCAGCTACATGATGTTGTCTCCCTGGCAACTCTTCTGTGCCTTCCTCTTCCCAGAATTCTCCTTGTCTGATAGCGCTGTCTATACTTCCTGCCTGGGTACTGACCAATCAGCTTTTTTTTCATCAACCAGTAAAAGAAACATATATTTACAGTATACAGAAGGACATTCCCCATCATCCAGTGCTGTGTCTTGGTGTTCTTCTAGTCAGTGGAAAACTTGACTATTTAATTAACCAAGTCAGCAAAGACTTTTTAGTTTGCTGAGGATAGAACCTAGGGCCTTGTACGTGCTAGAGAATGCCTGCACTATCACTGAAGTATCCCCCATAGCTTGTCTGTAGGTATTTATCTTGCCACATTCCATGACCTCTTTTTATCTCCATATTGGTGACTTGTTTTATTTCAGGGCACTCTCAGTTCCTATTTATAGTTTTATAGTTAACTATCCTTGTTAGACAGTTTTATGTTCTTCTTAGTGTAGACCTTGGTGGTTTGTCTGTGCATTTGGGAATGGGGAATCATCGAAGTTTTGTGATATTACAAGTTGATGTACTGTGCTTTCAAATATTAGGAAACAGCAATCAAATACATGACTGATGGATGTTTACTTAAACATATTTTGGGAGATCCAAATCTTAACAAATTCAGTGTCATTATTTTGGATGAAGCCCATGAAAGGACTTTAACTACAGTGAGTATTTAAATATCTTTATAATTAACAAGAAGTTCATTTGTTTGGAGTAACTGTTTACTGTAGTGAGAATTGCCTCCTCTTACGTTTTAATCTTTTGCAATAGAAATTCCTTGGTTATAATAGCAATCTATTTTAAATATGTTATGGCTGGGCATGATGGCATACACATTTAATTCCAGAACTCAGGAGGCAGAGAGGTAGGCAGATCTCTTAAGAGTTTGAGGCCAGCATAGTCTACAGAGGAGTTCCAGGCCAGCCCATGCTACATAGTGAGACCTTTCCTCAACAAACAAACCAAATAAAATAAGTTAGCTGGGCTAGGGATGTAGCTCAGTTAGTAGACTGCTTGCCTTGCTTGTACAAAGCCCTGGCTGTGGTCCTCAAAACCACATAAAAATGGTCATGGTGGTATACTACTTTAATCCCAATACTCTGCAAGTGGAAGCAGGAGATTAGACGTTCAAGGTTATCCCAGACTGTATATCTAGTTCCACAACAGCCCTTGAAACTCTGTCTCAAAAAATAAATACTCCTTATATTCAGGAGGCAGAGGCAGGCAGATTTAGATTTCTATTACCCGAAGGCCAGCCTGCTTTACTTAGTGAGTTCTAAGCCAACCAGAACTAAACACTGAGACCTGGATTAAAAAATAAGTAAGTAAGTAAGTAAGTAAAATGAATAAATAAATTAATAACACTAGCATTTGTGACTTACTAGATTTTCCTTTTAGGATATCTTATTTGGTTTACTGAAGAAGCTGTTTCAAGATAAGTCTCCTAACAGGAAGGAACATTTAAAAGTGGTGGTGATGTCAGCAACTATGGAACTAGCCAAGCTCTCTGCGTTCTTTGGAAATTGCCCCATATTTGATATACCTGGAAGGCTCTATCCAGTCAGAGAGAAATTCTGCAATTTGATTGGCCCTCGAGACAGAGAAAATACTGCATATATTCAAGCGGTATTACTTAAAATCTTTTTGTGTCTGTGATTTTATTTACTTGTGTAATTTGTTAATTTATCATGTTATTTTTATTATTGCATGTGTATGACGTATTGCAGGGTGGGGGGGATGTTCACATATGCCATGGCATGCATATGGTGGTCAGATGATAATTCTGTAGAGTTTTTGTCTCTATTTACCTTTCTGTGGGTTCTAGAGATTAAACTAAGGTCATCAAGCTTATGTGGCAAGCACCTTACTCACTGAGCCATCAGGCCTTCATGAATGCTAGGACTTTTGGGAAGCCTGATTGAATTTTTTTTCTTTTTTGAGCAAGAAGATATGGTAAGGGAAGAACGAGTATTTTATACCAACATATGACTATTGTCTTTTTTGTTTTCTCTTTAGATTGTGAAAGTGACCATGGATATTCATTTGAATGAAATGGCTGGAGACATCTTAGTTTTTTTGACTGGTGAGCATTCTCTACTAAGTTTAATAATACTGTAATTTGTAATCCAGGTATAATGGTGCATACTGCTAATCCTAGGACTCTGGAGACTGAGCAGGATGATTACTGCTAGTTCAAAGATAGATCAGGCTACAGATTTAAGACTATTCAGGGTTATATGATAAGCCCATGTTAAAAACAAAGAGGAACAGCAACAAGCAAAAACCCTCAATTCTTCAGTAAATAAATAAGTAAATAAAATGATTTCGTGGTTTTCGAAATGAGGTCTTTCCTGATGTGTTGCCCAGACTATTCTGGGAGAGCAGGCACACATCACTGCACCTGGTTATGTCTTCCTTTGGGAAGCAAGAAATATGGCACCAAAGTGGACAGACTGTCCCTTCTCCTAGGATATGTGAACTTGTTTTTTCAACTGTTGTATTGCCTTTTTATGATTCTCTGCTAGCTAATAGGTATACAGAATGCCAGACCCGCCAATAAATACATGTGAGTTACACTACTCTTTCATAGAAAGGGCTGAACTCTGGAGACTAGTTTTTTTTGGGGGGGGGAGGGGGTGGTTACTGTAGACAGAGCTCTAAAGTGGCTAAGTAATCCTGGTTCTGAGTAATTAATTCTTTTTTTTCTGACATCCCAACTGTCATTTATTTTTTTGTTGTTTTGTTTTTTTGTTGTTGTTTTGTTTTTCTTTTTTGAGACAGGCTTTCTCTTTGCAACAGCCCTGGCTGTCCTAGAACTGACTCTGTAGACCAGGCTGGCCTCAAACTCACAGAGATCTGCTTGCCTCTGCCTCCTGAGTGCTGGAATAAAAGGTGTGCGCTATTAACTAGTTGCATCCTAGCAGAAATAAGTGATTTCATTACTGATGGCTTACTCTGCCTTATACTAATGACTGAAGTGAGATATTTAAAACTATCTCTTTGCCTTTTGGAAGTTAATTCATATTTTTGCAATGTACCTGAATTCAGTATTTCCTGTAGTAGTTTCTCCTATGTGTGAGTAATTTAGTCTTCCTGAAACTCTGTATGAACAACATGAAAGGTTTGTAGATAAACACTTTTGTTCCTTTAGAAATCAGAAACATACCTCTGCTTGAATTTTGTTGTTGAGGTTGGCCATATCTTATATGATCAAAAAAGTGATTTAGAATAACCTTATACTACTTTTAAACTGGACTTTAAAAAGATCTTCAAAATTTGTAGTTCAATTCCTAAAGTTCTTCATCTCCTTCCAGGCCAATTTGAAATAGAGAAGAGTTGTGAGCTGCTTTTTCAGATGGCTGAGTCTGTCGATTACGATTATGATGTACAAGACACCACGCTAGATGGCTTGTTGATACTCCCTTGTTATGGATCTATGACAACAGGTACTCCCTTGCTAGGAAAGAAAATATGACAGTCAGACTTTTTAAAACGATTTAGCTTTTTTTTATTCATGTGTTTCAGTGTATGAGTACATGTTTGTTAGATCCAGCTGGGCCAACAGAGGGCATTACATACTTTAGCGCTGTAGTTACAGGCAGGTGTGTGTTGCTTGATACGGGTACTAGGCACCAGACTCTGGTTCCCTGAAAGAGTAGCAAGGACTCTTGACCACAGAGCCATCTTTCCAGCCCCCTTTTAAAGTATTTTTATTAATTATTGTATATACACAGAAAAAAGACAGATCATCAGTATTTGGATCAAAAAAATTCACGAAGTGATGTCAGTTTTGTAACTCCTAGGTGTTAAGCCAAATCATGAAGTAAAACGTTAAGAGAGCCATCATCCTTAGGAAAAACAATTTTGTTTAAAATCCTTTTATGGTAACTTTCGAGAACCTTGGATCTCCTCAGTATTTTAAGAATGTATTTTGTGTTCTCCCAACAGAACAAAATTCCTTTTGGGGATTCTTACAAATGAGGACTCTCTCAATACTTAGTCTGCCACTGTTGCAAAATTGATAGAGATCTTAGGTATCCAGATATGTCCAGTAAGCAGAGTGGATTTCCATTTCTTATTAAGTAGTCATATATTGTCCTCCTTTTCACGAATGATGATGTAGTTGAAGTATGTGTGTCTGTTCAAAGAGAAAACACAGTTTTATTTGGGTATTTGGCTATAATAAATTTTGTTTAATAAGAGCTAGAATTTGTTCTGTAAAACTTTTTTATTATTGGATTTAATATATAAAAGTAAAGGGATGTTGTGGCTAGGGAGAGATGGCCCATTGGTTGAGAGCTCTGACTACTTTTCCATTGGACCCTTGTTCAGTTCCTAGTGCCACATGGTGGCTAACAATCATATGTAGCTCTAGTTCTAAAGGATTGAAGCCTGATTCTGGCCTCCTTGTGCACCACACACATGGGGTACACAGACATACACATAGGCAAAACACCCATACACAAAATAATAATTTCTTTAAATAGTTAAAAATTACATTAGCAATTAACCATAGACCAGATTATATTGTGATGGTAGGCTCAATCATAGATTAAGTAGTGATCTCCATTTTACTTTTTTTGTTTGTTTTTTTGTTTTTTCGAGACAGGGTTTCTCTGTGGCATTGGAGGCTGTCCTGGAGCTAGCTAGCTCTTGTAGACCAGGCTGGTCTCGAACTCACAGAGATCCGCCTGCCTCTGCCTCCCCGAGTGCTGGGATTAAAGGCGTGCACCACCACTGCCAGGCTTCCATTTTACATCTTAAAGGCAATTCTTTTTCTTTTCTTTTCTGGGAAGTGTGTATGGGGGGGATGTCTAGACAAGTTTTTCTCTGTGTAGCCCTGGCTGACCTGGGACTTGCTCTGTAGACCAGACTTATCTGGGAACTCACACCTCAAGCCAAGGCCAAGTCTCAAGGACAGACACCAAAATTAATTCAGTTTCTGTAGACTGACTTCAGTGTTACAAGGTCTTCATTGAATTCTGTCTGGTTGTGGACCTTTGAGCATAATATACAAAGTTAACTTTTTTTCTTTTTGAGATAGGTTACTCTTCATAATAGCCCTGGCTGTCCTGGAACTCCCTTTATAGACCAGGCTGGCCTTGAATTTAGAGGTCTGCCAGCTTCTGCCTCCTGAGTGCTGAGGTTAAAGGTGTGCACCATCACTGCTTAAGGGCAATTATTATGATGCTCATTATTTTCTGGACTTTCATATTGACTTTGTAATTTAAAAATTCAGAAACCATGATAAAAAGCTATGTGTGGTGACACATGTCTAACCCCCGTGACTATTTCTTTTCTGGGGCTGTTGCTGGTACATTTTCTCCAGCTTTGGTTTCCTCACTGAAATGAGACTTGCTTGGTAGACCAGGCTGGCCTTGAACTCACAGAGATCCGCCTGCCTCTGCCACCCGAGTACTGGGACTAAAGGTGTGCGCCACAAACACCCAGCTAGGATTCAGCTTTTAATTGCTATTTTCTTAACCATTTTTGTTTGGGAGAGGTCTCAGACTTACTTGCCGCTTCTGTAATTGACTCTTGAGAGCCTTTTCTAGTTCTCTCTTGTTCCTGAACTATAAACCTCTTGGATCTTGTAAGTCAGAGTTCTAGCATGTGCATTTATCATCCTAGATCTTTTAACCCAAGTAAATGGCAACTTGTAGAGGTATTCTTTTTCTTTTTTAATAGTGGTGCTTTTTAATTAAAAGATAACTTTATTTTTATGTACACTGTGCTTTTGCCATGGGTGTTGCGTTCCCTAAAACTGAAGTTACAGATAGATGTGAACTACCATGTGGGTGCTGGGAATTGAACCAAGGTCTTCTGGAAGAGCATTCAGTGCTCTTAACCACTGTCCCTTCTCTTCATTCTCTGTAGAGGTATTCTTTTACCAGATCATTTCTTTATTTTTTAGCCATTATACAGTGTTGGGGTGTGTGTGTGTTTGTGTGTGTGTGTGTGTGTGTGTGTGTGTGTGTGTGTGTGTGTGTTTTGAGTTGTTCCTATTGTCTACTAACTCATTTTCCCAGTGGTAAACATACCTTTCTAAAAGTATACTTCTGGTTCCACCATCATTACAAGCTTTATTTCTGAGTTTATTCAATTTTCTATGTTGATGTATATATCTACATGATGAAGTTGTATGAATGAGTATGTATATAGCTATCATTGGACATTTTAGTTTGTTTTTTCTTGTAAGTACTATGATGGGTAAGCTGTTGTTGATCCATTATGAACATAATTATAGTAGCATGTAGTAGTACAAAGAGGCATTCAGGTGGCATTGATGCAGTACTGATTAATATGCGGGGTGGGTAGATGTAGTTTCTGTCCCTCCAGCCGCTCCCCAAATAACCACACAGATACTTAATATTAATTATAAAGGCTCAGCCAATAGTTTAGGCTTGTCTCCCGCCAGCTCTTACAACTTAAATTATATTAATTTATATTAATCTATATACTGCTTCAAAGCTCATTTACCTCATTTATGAACTTCCCATGTTGCTTCTTCTGTGTCTGGCTTGAGACTCCTCCAACTTTGTCCATCTTCTTCCCAGAATCCTCTCTTCCCCAATAATCCTTCCTAGCTATCAGCCAATCAGATTTTTATTAACAATGAGAGCAGCATCCCAAAGGATATTACACAACAGGTAGATGAAGAGAGAGGTGTAGATGTGTAGGATCCTTTTTTTTTTTTAAGATTTTCCTTATTTTCAGTTATGTATATGTGCATCTGTGTGGGTATGTGCACATGGTTCCAGGTGCCTACAGAGGCATGTGTCCATCTAGACCAGAAGTCACAGGCAGTTGATTATGAGCTTCCAGATGTGGGTGTTTGAAACCAAACTAGAATCCTCTGCAAGAAAAATATGTACTCTCAACATCTGAGCCATCTTTGCAGTTCCTGGGTTCTCTTAGCTGCTTTTAGCCTGATTAGTGCACCACTGTGCTTCTCTTCTTTCTTGTTGTCTCTGTGAGTTTTGCAGATACTTTTATAACATTATTTCTTTGTGTTGTCATGGTTTGGTGACATGTAAGTTTCACTTGCGTGTAAGGAGAAAGGAGCATTTCTTGGTTGCAACTTGTAGAATCTACTTGTTTGTTTTTGTTTTTTCAAGACAAATCTTGTCTGTGTAGCCCTGCTTGTCCTGGAACTTGCTCTGTAGATCACTGGCCTCAACTCAGAGATTCACCTGAGTTGCTTCCTGAGTGCTGGGATTCAGAACATGTGCCATCACCACCCAGCTTAGAAAAGACTTCCAATAGTGACTCATACCTGGGTTAATGAATAGGTAAAATTAACGAGGTAGATATTTTGAGACAGGATATTATTATGTATCCTAGGCTGGCCTTCAGCTTGGGCTCTTTCTGACTCCCTCTTGAATATGGATTATAGGTATAAAATGCCACATTTAGCTCAAGATAAATATTTTTTATTTAATCTTTTTAAAATGTATTAGCCATGATAATATCTTTTAAATGAAAATCTTAACTGTCTTCCCAGTTGAGATAACTAAAATTTTCATTTGTCAGATGTAGTCAGTTGCTATGTAATCCCTTCCAAATGATATGAACTGGCTCTTTGGCCTGGATTGTGCCTAGCAATCACTTAGTTCCACACTTTAGGAGATGTTTTTATAATTATATGTATATATGTTGTTTTGAGACATGGCCTTATATAGCTGTGGTTAGTCTGAACTTGCTATATAGACCATGGTGGCTTCAAACTTACCTCTTCCTCCTAAGTGCTGGTATTAAAGATGTGTGAACAACTTTAATGCAGGTATGTATGCTGTAAATATTGAAAAATCCTGTTAAAATATGTGTTAAACTGAGTTTCAGACTTCAAGTTCTTCTTCTCTCACAGTTCTTTCTTTTTGTCTCTCTCCCTGTCTCTCTGAGAGAGGAAATCCAAAAGTTTTTTGTTGTTCTTTGTTTTGTTTTCAAATCATTCAGGCCTTGGAGGCAGAAGCAAAGCTTTGAATGGAAACAAGATGTTGTATCAAATCCCCTACTTTTTATTACAATGAACAGCACAATTTCTGCTATATTGACAACATCGTTCCAGTTGTATCTGCTGAGTTACAGTTGGCAAATAAGCAGAACATTTTGAAGAACAAACATGTCCTAGAGCTCAGATAGACTATCAAGGGAGTCGAGTTACTGACTTCTTTGTTCAAGTTATTCCTGTCATGTGTGTGGGAAAGTCAAACCCCATTGAAATATACCTGTTGTTTCATAAATGACATACTTGTATGGGTTTGGAAAAGTTTATCACTGTAAGTACTTAGCCTTTTGGGAGAGTTAGAAGGGGTCTCAAATTCCTTTAAGTAGACGGATTGTGGTCATGCACACTTTAATCCCAGCACTCAGGAGGCTGGAGGTCTTTGACATAGAAAGTATTTTTTATTTTTATTTTTAAAACAGGGTAGAATTGGAGATTGTCCTGGAACTCTTTAGACCAGACTGGCCTCCAACTCACAGAGATCCTCCTGCCTCTGCCTCCCGAGTGCTGGGATTAAAGGCGTGCGCCACCAATGCCCAGCCCCCATTCAACTCTTTTGAAGTTTCTTGATCTTTTCCTTTACTTCAGTGCAGCTGCCCATTCAAATTCTTTTGTGTGTGTGTGTGTGTGTGTGTGTGTATATATATATCTTATTTACCTTTATTTTATGTCCATTGGTGTGAAGGTGTCAGATTCCCTAGAACTGGGATTACAGATGGTTGTGAGCTGCCATGTGTTTTCTGGAAGAGCAGCCAGTGTTCTTAACTGCTGAACCATCTCTCCAGCCCCCATTCAAATTCTTACATCCTAGAACTTGTCATTACCATCATTTCTCAGCTCTTAGTTTAAAGAATTCATTGTCTGATATCCTTCTGTCTCTGACAGCTTACTCTGTTGTTCCAAATTCATCAATTATTAGAATATCAGAATGTATTTAGAGTTATCCTTTAGCAACTTTCACTTATTCCCTTTCCCCTATATTGTTGTATCCTTGCCAATGTTTTGTGTCATTTTCTGTTTAAGTTGGTAGGTGGGTCCAAAACTGTATTTTTCCTTATTTTACAGTCATGTCTCTTAATTTCTGGAAAGGGGCAGGAAGGAACATAGGAATACTCTCTTGTCTACTTATGAATAATTGGTTTGTTTCTTTAAACTAACTTTCTTGTCTCTATATACATTGGTTACATCCTTAAGGCTCACAAATTTATTTTCTTCTTTTCAATTTACTTGCCAAATGAAATTTAGCATTTCTTGGACTTTATTTTATATTTATGAGATAAACAGATTGGCCTAGCATAGGGGAAAATATTTATTCCTGGTGTTATACTCTAAACCAGAGGCAAAAGCTACTACACAATATGCATTGCACTAGGGCTAATCCTCCCCTACTAGGAATGGGTGTGACCTTACTTCTTTGGAGAAGTAGTTATTAGGTAGGCAGACACACCTCAAAAGTAAAAACTGTTTAGCTGATCAATTATTATTATTATTATTATTATTATTATTATTATTATTATTAGAGATAGGGTTTCTTTCTATAGCCCTGGCTGTCCTGGAACTTGTACTGTATACCAACCAGACTGGTCTTAAACTCACAGAGATCTCCCTACCTCTGCCTCCTCAGTGCTGGGATTAAAGGCACCACTGCTCTGCTAGCTAATCAATCTTTAACGATGATAGAGATCCTTAGTTTGGAAATCTGTGGTTTAGCTTCAAGAAGTTTCAATATGAGTGTGTGTGCATGTCTTTGCTTTTTAATAAATAAGTCCATACTTTTATACATGTCTTTACATGGAGCTATGACCTAGATAAAGGACATTGCTGTAGGTGATCTTTTTGTAGTAATAGTAGTATATAATTCCATATGTTTAAAAAATCTGTTTGTAAAGATTTTTTTTATGTTTTATTTAGGTGGGTCTGTGCATGTGATCAGGTGCCCTTGGTGGCAGGAGTGCTTCAGATCCTCTAGAACTGAAATTAAAGGTGGTTGTGAGCCAATTGATATGGTGCTGGGATTCAAACTTGGGTCCACTGCAAGAGCAGTAAGTTTTCTCAAGCTCTGAGACATTTTTCCAGCCTGGATTTAAAACTCTTAAAAGTGAAACATTCAGAAATAGTTTTAGATTCTGTTGTAACAGCTTAGATTCTAGATTATTTAAGAGGTTATGAGCTGGGTGTAGTGGCACACACCTTTAATTTCAGTACTCAGGAAGCTGAGGTAAGCAGATCTCTGAGTTGGAGGCCAGCCTATAAAGAGAGTGCCAGGATAGCAGGACAGCCAGGGCTACATAGGAAAGCCATAGAAAGAAAAAAGAAAAGAAAAGAAAGAGCTACATAAGAAAGAAGAGGTGATGAAAATGCAACTTCTAATGAAAAGAAAAAGTTCTTTTAAAGCTTGGTGTTGATAGGAACATGTTTTAAACTAGTATTTTTTCTCTGTATATTTTAGATCAACAGAGGAGAATATTTTTGCCACCTCCACCTGGAATTAGAAAATGTGTCATATCCACCAATATTTCTGCAACATCTTTGACAATAGATGGAATCAGGTACAATTTTTATTTTTTATTTTTATTTTATTCTTTTAGGTTTTTTTTTTTTTTTTTTTTTTTTTTGCGACAGTTTCTCTGTGAGTTCGAGGCCAACCTGGTCTACAAGAACTAGTTCAGGACAGCCTCCAAAGCCACAGAGAAACACTGTCTGGAAAAAAAAAAAGACAGTTTCTCTGTATTGCTTTGGAGACTGTCCTGGAACTTGCTCTGTAGATCAGGCTAGCCTCAAACTCAAAGAGTCCTGCCTCTGCCTCCCAAGTACTGGGATTAAAGGTGTGTGCCACCAATGCCCGGTGGTAAAAAAAAAAAAAAACAACGTATTTATTTGTGCATATGGGTACTTGTGGAGGTCAAAATTTAGGCACTGGAGATTTGATTCACGTGGCCAGATTTTTCATGCAAGTGCCCTTACCCACTGAGCTGTCTTACTGCCCCAGATTTAACAACCTCTGAAACTTCTCTAAAAGTAAAGGAAATCATTTAGTTAACTGTAAATCATTAGAGTTTGCCAACCTGTGGGTGTTTTGTTGTTGTTGTTGTTTTTTAACTAACTCCCTTCTCACCTACTTTTTTTTTTAGTGTTTTTCTTTTCTTAAATTTTATTTGAATGTGCATATACACAGAGGCCTGAGGGCATTGGGTGCCCTCCTCTGTCATTCTCTACCTTATTCCTTTTGAAGGGAGATTTTTTTCACAACCTAGAGGTCCTGTTTTTCATCTAGGCTGGCAGCCAGCAAGCCCCATTAATTCTGTGTCTTTGCCTACTCTGCTACGGTTACAAGCATGCCAGGACCTGGCATATTACATGGATGCTAGGATCGGAATGCTAATTCCCATGCTTGTACAACAAGTACTCTTAACTGCTGCTGAGCATCTCTCCAGTCACTGTGTAGACCTGGATGGCTTGGAACTCACTGCTTTTGTTTTTCGAGACAGGGTTTCTCTGTGTGGAACTCAGTAGACCAGGCTGGCCTCACACTTGAGAGATCCACCTGCCTCTGCCTCCAAGGTACTGTGGTTAAAGATATGTGACAACACACCTAGCTCACCTACCATGTTATATAATTACTGATTGCTTTGAGTGGGATATGGAGTAGGAAATACACTCTGAGTTATGTCATCTTTTTAATTATTGAAGCCTTTTCTTTCTAAACACAAAATTATTTATAGTGTTTCATAGGTTTTGGCTAGATGGTTTTCTAGCTGTTGTTATTAATGCACACTTTACATGGTTTGGTATGCCTTTTTGTCTCCAGCCCAGTTTGGTAATTTTGTCTATGTAATGTTCATCTGAAGGGAGCATTTCTTTTCTTTTCTTTTCTTTTTTTAGGATATATTTTAGTCCACAGTTGATGCTAGTTAGTTTTTTGTTTGTTTTTTCATTCTAGGATATATTTGAGTCCACAATTGATCCTATTTTTTTTAGATATTTATTTTTACATTCCAATTCCAGTTCCCCCTCCCTCCTCATCTTCCTCTCCCCCCTACTTCCCACCCACTCCACCTCCCATCTGCTCCTCAGAGAGGGTAAGGCCTCCTCTAGGAAGTCTACTAAGTCTGTCCCATCATCTTATTGAGGCAGGACCCAGTCCTGTGTCCCATCCCCTGACCCCCCCCCCCCCAATAAGCACGGTATCTCTCCTTATGGAATGGGCTCCACAAAGTCACTTAGTCACTTTGTGCATTAGAGTTAGAGCTTGGACCCATTGCCGGTAACCTCATATACTGCCTTAGCCACACCATTGTTACCTGTATTCACCGAGTCTAGTTCGGTCTTATGCAGGTTCCCCAGTTGTCAGATCGGAGTCAGTCATCTCTCACTGGCTCAGGCCATCTGATTCTGTGGGTTTCCCCATCATGGTCTTGACTCCTTTGTTCAGATTATCATTCCTCCCTCATTTTGTACTCCAGGTAATGTCTGTCTTTTAAGGTTGGGGTGTGTTTCTTGTATGCAGTGCAAGGTTAGACTCTATTTTCATATTCAATCTATTAGCTTGTGTCTTTTTATAGGTGAGTTAAGACCATTTATATTAATGAATATTAATGACCAGTGACTGCTAGTTCCTGTTACTTTTGTCTTTGTTGTTGGTGATGGCATTTTGTGTTCAATTCCTTTTTTAGGATTTGCTGCTGTAAGCTCATCTATTGCCCGTGTTCTTGTGGATGTAGCTGACTTCCTTGGGTTGGAGTTTTCCTTCTAGTACTTTCTGTAGGAGTGAATTTGTGGATAGGTATTGTTTAAATCTAGTTTTAGCATGGACTATCTTGTTTTCTTCATCTGTGGTTATTGAAATCTTTTCTGGGTATAGTCATCTAGGCTGGCATCCATGGGTCCCTTATTCTTTGCATAACATCTGTCTAGGACCTTCTGGTTTTTATTGTTTCCATTGAGAAGTCAGATGTAATTCTGATAAGTCTGTTTTTATATGTTACCTGTTATTTTTCCTTTCCTTTATTCTGTAGCTTTATTGTTTTATTATATGGTGAGAGGACTGTTTTTTGTTTTTGTTTTTGTTTTTTGTTTTTTGTTTTTTTTGAGACAGGGTTTCCCTGTGTAGCTTTGGAGCCTGTCCTGGAACTCCCTCTGTTGACCACATTGGCCTCGAACTCCTGTCTCTGCCTCCTGAATGCTGGGACCAAAGGCATGTACGGCTCGAGAGGAAATTTTTTCCCATCTATTTGGTGTTCTATTAAGGTTGTACTTTCATAGGCATGTCCTTCTTTATGTTGAAAAAGTTGTCTCCTGTGATTTTGTTGAATATATTTTCTGTGCTTTTGAGTTGGGCTTCTTCTCCTTCTATCCCTATTAGTCTTAGGTTTAGTCTTTTCATGGTGTCCTAGACCTCCTGTTTGTGTTTTGTGTTAAGGATTTGTTGGATTTAATGTTTTCTTTGACTGATGAATCTATTTCCTCTATTGTATCTTCAACACCTGAAATTCTCTCTTCCATCTTTTTTATTCTGTTGTTTATGCTTGCATTTGTGGTTCCTGATCATTTACTCAGATTTTCTATTTCCAGAGTTCCCTAGGTTTGTGTTTTCTTTATTGCCTCTATTTAAGATTTCAAATCTTGAATTATTTCCTTCACTTGTTTTCCTCTTGGTTTTCTTTAAGGATTTCTTCCAATTTTCTTTTGTCTTTTTCTCCGTTTCTTTAAGGGAGTTTTTTATTTCCTCTTTAAGGGACTCAATCATCCTCATAAAGGTTTTTTTTTTTTTTAGGTTATTTTCTTCTGCTTCATCTGCATTGGGATCTCTTCAGGTCTTGCTATTGTAGCACCGTTAGTTTCTAGTGATGCCTTATTGCTCTTTATATTGTTGAGTGTGTTCTTATATTGTTGTGTATACATCTCTTCCTCTAATCGGTATAAGAGGAGCTTGTTCTTCAGGGGGGTCTCTCTCTCTCTTCCTCCCTCTCTCTCTCTCTCTCTCTCTCTCTCTCTCTCTCTCTCTCTCTCTCTCTCTCTCTCTCTCTCTCCCTCCTTTGTATAATTGGGGGCTGTGGTTTCTTTGACCACTCCTTCAGGTACAAGCAGAGCAGGACCTCCAGTGATTGTTCGTCCTGGTGGAAGTAGGCCCAAGGCTAAGGTGGTTGCTCCTTGAGGTTCAGGTGGGGCTACAGCTCTGGTGGACACTCCTCCCCTTGGTGATTGCTCCTCTAGCTATAGGTGGGACTGAGGTTCCAGTAGTTGCTGTAGCAGCAGGGTATCTTGAACCAAGAAATGACAGTGGATCCTGGCTGGGACACAGATGCTCTTTCCCGTAGGAACTTCTTGCCTTAGCTTCTGGAAGCTGACCGCAGTGGCTCCAGCCTGCCTCTGATGCTGCTGCCAGGCCAGTAGCTCGGGCCTCCCTTGAAGGACAGTTTCTTCTCACTTCCTTGTGAAATCGAATTATGGTGCAAGTCCCTATTGCTTTTGGATATAGTCAGTAATACAGTCAGATTTTGAGTAAATTAGTAGAGAATCACCTGCAAAGTTCAATTCTGGATTCATAGCTAATGTGAAATTCTTTCAGGCTTCGGAGCTACATCCCTTTTTGATACATTATCCAGTGTATTTTGTATGATTCATTGTGTCTGACTGCCTGCCACACAAAGGCTTGATTGCAGCCCCTAAGATTCCATTACATTTCTTCTGGGTAAATGAGTAAAGAGAAATTATATTTCTTCTACTTAAGCTACATAGTGACTACAGAGCCAGCCTTGGCCATATAGTAAGACCTTTTATCAAAAATCAAGTACAAATAGACACTTAAAATTTATTTGTTTGTTTGTTTTTTCGAGACATGATTTCTCTGTATTGCTTTGGAGCCTGTCCTGGAACTCACTCTGTAGACCAGGCTGGCCTTGAACTCACAGAGATTCTCCTGCTTCTGCCTCCCGAGTGCTGGGACTAAAAGCGTGCGCCACCAACGCCTGGCCTGACACTTAAAATTTAAAAGAAAAACTAGTGATTTTTCTTTTCTAAAGGGTTAGAACAGTAGAGTACATTGACTTCTGTAATTGTATATTTGCCATACAGGCAAAGGTCTAGTAGTTTTTAGAATATTATTTAGTAAAATGATAGACTTGGTGCTATTCCTAACTTAACTCTGCTTTTTTTTTCTTTTTATTTGATTTTTCAAGATGGGGTTTTTCTGTGTAATAGTCCTGGCTGTCCTGGAACTCACTTTGTAGTTCAGGGTGGCCTCAAATTCACTGAGACCCACATGCCTCTGCTTCTGGAGTGCTGGCATTAAAGGCGTGCGCCGCTGCCACCTGACCCTAACGTAACTCTTTACCTGACTTGTTCTACCATGCCTTAAAATGGGTTGCTAAAGAATTAGATTTTGAATTTGTTACAACAATTCAGAGCTGAGTGTGAACCCTGTTTTAATAACTTTAAAAATGGAAATAGCCGGGCATTGGTGGCGCATGCCTTTAATCCCAGCACTCGGGAGGCAGAGGCAGGTGAATCTCTGTGAGTTCGACGCCAGCCTGGTCTACAGAGCGACTTCCAGGACAGCCTCCAAAACAATACAGAGAAACCCTGTTTCAAAAAACCAAAACAAAAAAAAAAAAAAAGAAAGAAATTTAAAATTTAGTACATTTACAGTTTTAAGTACTACCTTTATTGTTTTTTATGTGTATGGGTGTTTTGTCTGTGCATCAGTATGTGCAGTCCAGAAGGCTGTCAGATCCTCTTGGACTAGAGTTACAGATGGTTGTGAGCCACCATGTGAATGTTGGGATTCAAACCCTGATCCTCTATAAAAAAAAAAGCCAGTGCTCTTAACTATTGAGCCATTTCTCTAGTCCCCAGTCTGTTATGTTTTAATGAACAATTTGATGAATTTACTTTCTTGGCCTTTGCTATTACTTGGGAATGGAATTGCTAGGTCACATGATAATTCTATTTTAGTTTTTTGAAGAGAGGCCAAAATGTTTCCCTCACTGGCTTTACTACCATTAATTTGAGAGGATTTTACTTTGTCATTAACTATGATTGATAATTCCATTTCTTGACTTTCAACTTCTTTTTTTTCTTTCCTTTTTTAACATGTATATGAGTGTGAGTGTGTGTGTGTGTGTGTGTGTGTGTGTGTAGGTGTACAAGTGGAGGTCAGAAGATCACTTGTGTCACTTGTATGAGTTGGTTCTTGCCTTGTACTATCCTAGTCCCAAAGATTAAACTCAGGTCATCAGGCTTGTTGGTATGTGCCTTTACTCTCCAAACCATTTTAACTAAGCTGACTTTTAAGTTTTGTATTTAATATAAATATTGCAGTAAATGTGTTAGAAAAAGAGAATCTGAAGAGGTTAAAATGAACAACTTTTGGGGCTGGAGAGATTGCCCAGTGATTAAGAGCACTAGATACACTTCTAGAGGGACTGGGTTTGATTCCCAACACCTACTTAGTGACTCCCAAACTGTCTGTAACTCCATTTCCAAGAGACTGGTGGCCCTCTTCCTGCCTTTGTGGGCAACAGACATGCATGTGGTGCACAGTAATACATGTGGGAAAACACCTAAGCACATAAATAAAGGTAAAAGGTAACCCATCTCCCCTTATTTTGTGGATGCTTAATTTGTTTCATTCTCTTAGGTATGTAGTGGACGGAGGCTTTGTGAAGCAGCTAAATCACAACCCCAGATTAGGGTTGGACATCCTGGAGGTGGTTCCTATTTCCAAGTAAGTCTCTTTACCAAGCTTTAAGTTCACAGGACAGTTAGCTGATTAGAGTGTTTCTACTTGGTTTGAATATTAGAAGTAAATTACTTGGCAAACCCACAGAACATTTTGGGGACTGTTTTGTTTTCTTCTGTAGAAGTGAAGCATTACAGCGAAGTGGCCGAGCTGGCAGGACTGCCTCAGGAAAATGCTTTCGGATTTATAGTAAAGACTTTTGGAACCAGTGCATGCCTGATCATGTGATCCCGGAGATTAAGAGAACTAGTTTGACATCTGTAGTTCTGACATTAAAGTGCCTTGCCATACATGATGTCATAAGGTATGTGGGCAACCTCGAAAGACATGTGGCTAGAGTGGAAGAAGCCTGCTTACTTCTCAGAAACCATTTTGTACTTTTTGACTCATTTGTCCTCAGGAATTGAGACTAACCTATTTGCAGGGTTGATTCTCTTGTTGGTTCCTTTTAAACTAAACAAAAAATGTTAATTTACCTAAAGTAATTCTGTATTTTAGCCATTTGAAAGTATACATTTCAAATAGTTGTTACTAGATTCATAATGTTATAGGACCATTACCACTGTCAAATTTCAGAACATGTTCATCAGCCTCAAAGAGCTATAAGTTTTTTTTAATTATGTGAACTTAGGACAAACTGCTACAATTTAAGATTGAGGAATCTAGAAGTAAACTGTTAAACTATTATTTGCCTTCAAGTTTTTTGAATTTTTTATTTCAAAGCTTGTATTGCTTTACTGGGTATCTTAGGGTTTCTGTGGCTATGAAGAGACACCATGGCCATGACAACTCTTTTTTTTTTTTTTTTTTTTTTTTTGGTTTTTACGAGACAGGGTTTCTCTGTATTGTTTTGGAGGCTATCGGTCCAGCCCGGCCTCGAACTCACAGAGATCCGCCTGCCTCTGCCTCCCGAGTGCTGGGATTAAAGGCGTGCACCATCAACGCCCGGCTCGACCATGACAACTCTTATAAAGGAAAACATTTAATTGTGGTGACCCACTTAGAGTTCAGAGATTCAGTCTGTTATCATCCTGGCAGGGAGCATGGTGACATAGTGCTGGAGAAGTAGCTGAGAGTCCTACATCTGGCAGACAACAGGAAATGGTTAACTGTGACTCTAGGAGAACTCAAAACCCAACCCCCACAGTGACATACTTCCTCCAACAAGGACACAACTACTCCAAAAAAAGCCATACCTCTTAATAGTACCACTTCCTATGAGCTTATGGGGGCCAATTACATTCAAGCAATCACACTTAGATTTGATCTTTTTCTCATATTTAAACCCTGGCTTAATGGAGGCTTATCATGCTGGTTGCCTTTAGTGATCACTGTTTTTTTGTTTTTTGTTTTGTTTTGCTTTTTTGAGATGGTCTCACTATGTAGCTAGGGCTGTCTGGAACTCACCATGTAGAACAAGCTGGTCTTGAACTCATAGAAATCTGCCTGCCTCTGCCTCCCAAGTGCTGAGATTAAAAGGCATGCCGCGCAATGCTTGGTTGACCACTATAATTCTGACTACAAAGTTTTATGGAGCCAGATATAATGTGCATATATTTTCCTGTGTTTGTTTGTTTGTTTGAGTCAGAGCCTCACAGTATAGTTCTGCCTGGCCTAAAACTCACTATATAGACTAGATGGGCCTTAGCAAACCTCTTGCTCTTGTCTCTTGATTATACACAAGTGCTACCAAGCCTGACTCGCCAATTTAGATGGTTTCAAATAAGACTACAGATTTTTTTTTTCTTGAGACAGGGTCTCATTATGTATCCCTGGCTGGCCTGGACATACTATAAAGACCAGGCTGGTCTTGAACTATTAGTGATCCACTGACTATGACTTCCAGCTACTGATCTTATAGGTGTGCACCACCATATCTGGCTCAAGACAAAAGATTTTCTAGTTAAGTATGCAGAATAAAACATAAAATTTAACTGTATTAGTAAATTATGCCATTGAGAAAGAAATAACAAGCCATTGAAAGAGCTTAGTGACCAAACAGAAAATTTTCAAGTAAATCCTGATTTAAAATCAGTGTCTTGATATATTCTCATTTAGGAAGAGGAGACTTTAAAAGCAACTGCCCAGTAAGCTTGGCATTAATTCCTAGCATATTCTCAATGGATTAAAAATAACCAAGAGTGAATACATACTAGAAAAAAAAGAGAAATGAATAGAGATTAATTCATTTTAAATAGCTTAGTACTGTTTACATTGTTACTATTCTTTTGCTTTTTTCTTTAAATTTTTATATTATGTATAAGTATGTTTTGCCTGCATACATGTCTGTGTGTGCATCACTTGCATACTTGGTGCCCATGGATGTCAGGAAGTGTTGTTAGATCCTATGGAACTAGAGTTACAGATTGTTGTGCCACCATCTGTGTTCTGGGAACTAAACCTAGGTCTTCTACAAGAGCAGCAAGGGCTCTTAATGCCTGATCCATCTCTCCAGATCCCATTGCTGTTTTTTGAGAAAGGGTCCCATGTCTTCCAGGCTGTTTAAACTTGCTATATTGCTGAGGCTGGCCTTGAATGCATTATCTTTTTGCCTCAGCCTCTCAAGTGGTAGGATTACCGGCATGTGCTGTCAAGAGTACGCATCTGTAATCCTAGCATTAGAAGAGCTGAGGTAGAAAGACTGCTGGGAGGACAAAGTCAATGTAGGGATACACAACAAAATCCTGACTTGAATAAGATCAAAAAGGAAAGAAATGAAAGAAAAAGAAGAAACCAGGTATAAGCCTGGTGTGGTAGCACTTTATACTCTGAGCCATTTTTCTTGTAATTAAAATATGGAGTCAGGAGACTAGGGATGGTTGCACATGCCTTTAATTTCACCTCTTTGGAGGCAGAAGCAGGTAGGTCTCTTTGAAATCAAGGCCAGCCCTAAGTTACTATAGATAACTTGAAATTTTCAGCTACTTTTAGCTGCTTTTTCTCTTTATTTAGATTGTGCATGTGTACATGCACATAGGTGTACATGTGGAGGTCAGAAGACAACTTGCAGGAGTCCATTATCTTCCACCATGGAATCTTGGCCATAGACCTCAAATTGTCAGGCTTGATGGCAAGCACCCTTACTTGCTGATCCATCATTGACACTCTCCTCTGTTTTGTAACAACTTGATAAACACAGTCATGGCCTGCAGAAGAGAAGAAACAGTAATTGGCTACAAAGTATGAGTCAGGATTAAGATAGAGAGAAAAGAATAAAAAGAAGTATGTTTTGAATGAGAGAAATGTAATTCCAGAAAAAGCAAAATTTCCTCTTTTTGAATGTGGACCATGGTGCTAGGATGTTTTCAGCAAGAAGAGGACTTGAAGCATGGTAATGCACACCTCTAATCCCAGCATTTAGGAGGCAGAGGCAGGTGCATCTCTGATTTTGAAGCTAGCCTGGTATGCATTTGAGTTCCAGGACAACCAAGACTCTGTAGAAAGAGACCTTGTCCACAAAAACAACAAGAAAATGAAGTGGAGAAATGAAACTTTTAAGGACATAAATCAAGTGTGTATAAAGTCTTTTCTATTAATAATTCTGACTTTTCCCTATCTCATTTAAATATACAGGTTTCCATATTTGGATCCACCTAATGAGAGACTTATTTTGGAAGCACTTAAACAGCTTTATCAGTGTGATGCTATTGACAGGTAAAAAGTATAATCTAAACATATTGTTAATCTTTTGTTTGTTTGTAGCTATGTAGCCCAGATTGGCGTGAAACTCACCATACAGTCTATACTGGCCTTGAATTTATAATCCTCCTTGTCTCAGCTTCTCAAATACTGGAATAACAGGTGTGAGCTTTTGTGCCTGGCGTTTCGATTCGTTATTTTAAAAAAGGTTCTAAGTCTTACTTCAGAAGTAGGAAGGAATTTATTTCAATGTTAATGAATTGATTTACATGCAATTAAAATCTGCCTTTAGTCTTTGTTTACCTCAGTTCTCAAACACTGAACTATAAAGATGTTTTCCTGTAGCTAGACATGGAAGTACATGCCTGTAATCTGTGATCCCAGTACCTGGGAGTCTTGAGGCAGTAGTATGGCAGTTGAAGCCACCCTTGAGAGTCTCTGTTTAAAACAACACAAAGCATCCAAACAACCAAAAAGCTGCGTAAACAAGGAGGAGAAATGTAACATTTTTTAAAAAGCCAAACCAAAGCACTTTTTCTTAATTGGTTTCAGTTAACAAGTAATTTTGAATACCATTTCAATACCAAGCATTATTCTAGCTACATAAAAAGTGCTAAGACTTGGGCTAGGTGGTGGCGGCACATGTCTTTTATCCCAGTACTTGGGAAGCAGAGGCAGTTGGATCTCTGAGTCCGAGGTCAGCCTGGTCTACAGAGCTAGTTCCAGGACAGCTTAGGGCTGTCACACAGAGAAAAACCCTGTTTCAAAAAGAACAAAAAAGAAAGAAAAAAAAATGCCGAGACTCTTTGTTGTCATGATTGTTTGTTGGGGGAAGGTTTGATAATTGTTTTTCCTTCATTTCTTCAAGGATAACTCTGTGCTCTGATGAATGTTTGTAACTTTTGAATTACAGTATCCTATCTCATTGAGTAGTTTTTTGGGGCCATGTGTTGGGGTGGTGCATGCCTTGAATTCCAGCATCTGGGAGTCAGACAGGAAGATCTATGAGTTTGAGGCCTCTATGAGTTCAAGGCCAGCCTAATCTATACAGCGAGTTCCAGTACAGCTAGAGCTGTTACACAGAGAAACCCTGTTTTGAAAAACCAAAGTCAAACAAACAAATAATTCTGGGACACACAGGATGGAAGAGGAGAACTATTTTCCTCCAAGTTGTCTTCTGACCCCTGTGCTATTTCATGTGTGTGCACATACACTAATTAAATAAATGAAAATGCAACAAGAAAAGGGAAAGAAAAGTACAACTTCTGACAATAGAGGGTTTATTTGGTTTAGGGTTTTTTTGTTTGTTTGTTTTGTTTTGTTTTTTGAGACAGGGTTTCTCTGTGTAACCATGGCTGTCCTGGAACTCATAGATCTGCCTGCCACTCCCGAGTGCTAGGATCAAGGGTATGGGTCACCACCAACCAATTTTCATTGTTCTTACCAATGACACAGTGTTTTATTCTTTAAATTTGATTTTCTAGAGATGAGTTTAAGTAATTAAATTATGTCTTATTTATTCTGAATGATGAACATTATATTTGTATGGTCCCAAAGTCCTAAGAACTTTCTTTTTCTGTTAAGGAGTGGTCATGTGACAAGATTGGGTTTATCCATGGTGGAGTTTCCTCTCCCCCCACATCTGACATGTGCAGTGATCAAGGCTGCTTCTCTTGATTGTGAAGATTTACTGCTTCCAATAGCAGCAATGTTATCTGTGGAAAATGTCTTTATCAGACCGGGTAAACACTTTATTTTTAAAGATTTTCGTTGTATTATATTATTTTACCGTGTGTGTGTGTGTGTGTGTGTGTGTGTGTGTGTGTGTGTGTGTGTGTGTACATTTGTGTGTGCTTAAGGATACAGACGCACAGTGCGTGTGTGGAAGTCAGAACAACTTGGAGGAGTTGGTTCTATTATTCTACCATGTGGATTCTGGGAACTAAACTGAGATTGTCATGCTTATTGGTAAGCCCCCTTTATCTGCTGAGCCATCTAGTGGACTCCCATAAGCAATTTTTATATTTTGTAAAGAATTTGATTGCTAAGTGTGGTGAAGCATGGGTGTAATGTCAGTTGTCTTATGATAGAGCGGTGGTAAGATCCTGATTCAAGGGCAGCCTGGGCAGCAGATGTGACCCTGTCTCAAAGAAAACAAGACACTGTTTTCCTATGCCCTCATAGACTGTTTTCTTTAGAAAAGTTTTATGATTACAAAAAAATGGGTAAGTTTAGAAGGTTCCCATTCTCTTAGCCACACAGTTTTTCCAGTTTATGAGCATCTTTTATTGGTGATATGTTTGCTGCTGTGCATGCATCAATACTGATAGGTTACTAACTGAAAGGATCACTCATTTGATTGCATATTCTATAACTTTTTACTCATATCCAGTATCTACAACTACAGAATCCTATAGAATAGTTTTATTTGCTTAAACATCCCCTGCTCTCCATTTATTCATCACTACATCCTTTCCTTCATGTTGTCCCTTGGTGTTCAGGTAGATGGAGAATGTACATGCTCACACACATACACATAATATAAACCAACCCATTTGGCAATTGATCTTTTTACTGTCTTTATTATTTTGCCATTTTCAGAATCTTGTATTTGTGATCATATAGTATGTAACATTTTCAAATGGATCTCTGTCATTTAAGATTTAAGATTCATCCATTGTGCCAGGCGGTGGTGGTGCACACCTTTAGTTCCAGCACTCGGGAGGCAGAAGCAGGCAGATCTCTGTGAGTTCGAGGCAGGGCTGGACCGACAGCCTCCAAAACAATACAGAGAAACCCTGTCTTGTAAAACCAAAACAAAACAAAAAGATTCCTCCATTGTAGCATGAATTCTCTTTGATTTTAATAATAAAACTCTTAAGTCATCTATCTGGCGGTGAAAGCTTAAGGATCAGAGAAGCAGAGTGGCCAGCCATTAGAATTCTTACCTCTACCAGTGCTCAGATCAAAGGGGCCATCCTATCTACAGACTGCCTCCTCGGACTGCTTCAGAGTGACTCTGCTGAGACTGCCTAAGCTTCTGTCTCCTTCTGCATTATATTCCTCTCTCTGTCCAGCCTTATCACTCCTGTCTCCACCTCTCTAGTGTTGGGATTAAAGGCGTGCTGGGATTACCTTTGTGTGAGCTCTATTTCTCTCTTAGACAAATTCATTCACATGTAGCCCAGGGTGGCCTTGAACTCACAGAAATCTGTCAGCATCTATCTTCAGTGTGGTAGGATTAAAGGTGTGTGCCACCTCTCTGCCTGGCCTCTATGGCTAACTAGTGTGGCTTGCTCTGCACTCTGATCTTCAGGCAAGATTTATTTATTATAGCATAAATAAACTATCACCACACTTCATGGTTTTGTTTTTTGTTTGTTTTATGGGGGTATGATAGCTCATTTCTTTTTATCACTAAATGGTATTCCATTCTATTATATGGAATTTATCCAGTTATTAAAGGGAATGGTTACTTTTTCATGTTTTGGCTATTAAAGTTGCAACCAGGCAGTAGTGGCTCACTCTAATAGCAGCACTTGGAGACAGAGGCAGTCCAAGTGCATCTCTGACTTCCCAGACAGCCAGGGCTACATAGAGAAACCCTATCTGGAAAAACAAAACAAACTTAACAAAAAAGTTACCATAGTATCACTATCCAGTTTTGCTTGTTTTGGATCTTGGGGACATGGTCTCTATGTAGCCCTGACTGTCCTGGAATTACCTATGTAGACCAGGCTTGACTTGAACTCACAGATTTCTGCCTGCTTTTACCTGCTCACTGCTGGGATTAAAGGTGTGTGCTACCTCGAGCCGGGCGGTGGTGCACGCCTTTAATCCCAGCACTCGGGAGACAGAGGCAGGTGGATCTCTGTGAGTTCGAGGCCAGGCTGGACCGATAGCCTCCAAAACAATACAGAGAAACCCTGTCTCGTAAAAACCAAAAAAAAAAAAAAACAAACAAAACAAAACAAAACAAAAAAAAACAGGTGTGTGCTACCTCATCTACCCCAATGTATAGTGTATTTTCTCCCTCCCTCCCTCCCTCCCTCCCTCCCTCCCTCCCTCCCTCCTTTTTTTTTTTTAAGACAGTGTGTCTGTCTGTAGCAGTCCCGGCTGTCCTGGAACTCACTCTGTAGACCAGGCTGGCCTCAAATTGGGAGAGATCCTCCTGCCTCTGCCTACTAAGTGTTGGATTAAAAAGCATGAGCCACCACTGCCCAGCTGTTAAGTACTTTCTTCAAGTGTTTGATTTATCCTTTCATTGTTTTGGCATTGCCTTTGGCAGACAGAAGATTTTGATTTTAATGAAGGTCTAATATAACTTTTCTTTTGTGGATCTTCCTTTTGGTACTATGTCAATGAGGTCATTGCCATTACCACGGCCATTTATATTTTTCTCTTAATGTTGTCATATCATAGTTGGGTATATATTTGTTTCAACATCATTTGTTCAAATATTGTAGTTTCCCTATTGAACTGCTTTTGTTTGTTTGTTTAGATCAGTTGACTATACTTGTATAAGCACTCTTTTTTTGTTTTGGTTTTTTGAGGCAGGGTTTCTTTGTAACTTTGAAGGCTGTCCTGGAACTCACTCTGTAGACCAGGCTGGTCTTGAACTCACAGAGATCTGCCTGCCTCCACCTCCCAAGTGCTGGGATTACAGGCATATGCCACAACCTCCCTTGTATGAGCATTCTTAAGTAGTTAGATGAGGTAATTAATCCTTGACTTTGTCCTTCCCCTTCCTCATTGCCCTGGCTGTTCTCAGTCTTTTCCTCTCCACATGAACTGCAGAGTCAGTTGAAATCCACAAAATGATTGTTGTGTGATCTGGTAAATCAAGTTAGGAAGAACTGCTATCTAACAGTGGGAAGATTCTAACTATGTACTTTATGTCTGACTGTTTACTTTGGTCTTCAGTAATTCACAGAGCCTTTTGGGGATTTACCATATAGCTGTGAGACAGGAAACAGAATAGGTGGTTATATTTTGTTATCCTTTAACTTAGTTGTTTGGCGTAGGGAATATATAACATTCCTAGCTAAAAGTTAATTTCCCTTCAAGGATAAAGCTAGATAATAAGGTGAACCTTTGTTCTTTTGTGGTAAATTAGTAATATATTAACTTGTTTTTTGGAATGAAAAGAACAGGTAGTTCAGCCCTTTATCCTTAGAGTATTTCTTTCTTTTTTATGGTTTACATATATTCTTATATATTTCCTTTTTTTTTGTTTCTTGGTGTGCCAGTATGAGACAGTTTAACATGTGCTGACTTTGTTTTTATCTAAAAAAATCACTTTTTCCCATAAGTATCTTCAGAGTAGTCACTAGACCTTGTCAACAGCTAATACTATAACAAGAGATTGTGCACCTCACTGGCCTTTCCTTTTGTAGGTTATGAGTGTTGGGTCCAGACTGGTTTGTCATTGCTGTGATTATAAAGGTGGTAAATTTTTCTGTAAAAGTACTTTGTTATTGAATTAGTTTTCTGCCTACCCCAAATAGACCTCAATTTTAACTGCCAAAATGTTGATTCTTGGACCTGCAAGATGGTACATTAAGCAGGTACTTGCTGTCAAGTCTCATGTCATGAGGCTTTTGTTTTTAATTCATTTTTATGTGTATTGGTGTTTTGTCTGCATGTATATCTGTGTACCATTTGCTTGGTTGGTGCCTACTGAGGCCAGAGTGGGGTTTGGATCCTCTGGTACTGGAGTTCCAGACAATTGTGAGCTGCCATGTGCCTTCTGAGAAGAACAGCTAATTCTCGTAATTGCTGAACCACCTCTCCAGTACTGATGTCCTGAGTTCCTCAGAATTCACAACATGATGCAAGGAGAGAATTAACTCCCATAAGTTGTATTCTGACTACCACATATTTGAGCATGCACAAATACAAAATAAATTTTGTAAATGTACTAAATTTTTTCATAAAACTTTAAGTCTTATAATATACCCAATTGCAACATTTCTCCCAGTAAAATAGTACGTGCGATAAATAATGTTGATTGGCTTTCCTTAGGAATTATCAAGGTTAAAGAGACCCCCAAAATTACTGGGGAGTATGAAGTGGATGTCAGGAGTTGAGTGTTCTGACTGTCCAATACCTAAGTATCTGACTATGGCCTTAGCTTTCTCAGACTCCCATGTTTTTCATTTATAAAACCAGAAAGTCAGGTATAGTGGTGCATGCCTGTAGTTCCAGCATTTTATAAGTAACACAGGAGGACCTCTTACCTTGTCTTAGAAAACCAAAGGGAGAAAACACAACACCAAAACAAAACAATTGGGTTCAATACTAACCTAACTTCAATAGTTAAGGTTAGAAGAAGAATTAGATTGGATGACAAGATCAAGTGATCTTGAAGGCCTTCATTGATATTTTAAGGCAAATTTTGAATATATTGAAATATATATTAGTATAATTCAGTGAATTTTATGAACTGGACATACCATATAACATGCACCCCTATCAAAATAGAGAATGTTCAGGGGTGATGTCATGACTGAGTTATGTCATGAGCACTTGTCACCAAGATTGACAACCTGAGTTCATTTCTGAGATCCACAGGGTAGAGGAGAACTTCTACACATTTTCTTCTGACCTCCATTTGCAGAGTGCAAATGCACAAGTGCATGGCCCACTCCCCAACATGTAAAAATGTAAGAACAATTTTTTCTGGGTTTTTCTGTGTAAACCCAGCTGTCCTGGAACTCTGTAGACCAGGCTGGTCTTGAACTCACAGAGCTCTGCCTGCCTCTGCCTTCTGAACTGAGAATAAAGGCAGGCAAATCTATCACCTGGTTGGAATTTTTTTTAATGTTAGTTTTGCCGTTTTTGAAATTACAAATAGAAATATACAACATAAACTTTTAGGTGTATATTTGGCTTTTGGTGAACATATTCCATGTGAAATTCATCTGTATTATTTTATGTATCTGTATTTTGATCTTTTATTGAGTAGTTTCCACTGTATGAACATACAATTAGTTATGTATTATCCTGTCCATGAACATGTATATTATTCTTGTTTAGTGTTGTTTATGAGTGAAATATTTCAAATACAATCTCCTGAGTAAATTCTTGTGCAAGCCTTTTATGTATTTTTGTTTTGCTTAGCTTTAAAAAAATACCTGGGAAAGAAATTGTTGTGTTATTGAACAAGTTTATGATTAAGAAACAAGCTGGAGCCAGGCAGTGGTGGCGCACACCTATAATTCCAGCACCCGGAAAGCAGAGGCAGGCAGATGGATCTCTGTTTGAGGCCAGCCTGGTCTACAGAGTGAGGATAGGCTCCAAAGCAATACAGAAAAACCCTGTCTCGAAAAACAAACAAAACCAAAAAAACAAAACAAAAAAATCAAGAGATTAGAAACTTGCTATGAGCCGGGCGTTGGTGGCTTTAATCCCAGCACTCGGGAGGCAGAGGTAGGCGGATCTCTGTGAATTCGAGGCCAGCCTGGTCTACAAAGTGAGTTCCAGGGCAGCCTCCAAAGCCACAGAGAAACCCTGTCTCGAAAAACCAAAAAAAAAAAAAAAAAAAAAAAAAAAGAAAGAAACTTGCTATGTAGACCAGGCCACTGTCCTGACCTTCACAGAGATTCACCTGTCTTTTCCTCCCAAGTTTTGGAATTATAGGTATGTGCCACAACACCTGGCCTGTTTACTTTTCCTTTTACTCTGTGTCTGTATGTTTGTATATATGCAGGAATGTTTGGGTTTGGAGGCCAGAGGACAGCTTTAGGTGCCATTCTTCAAGCATTATACATGTTTTTTTTTTTTTTTAAAGATAAGAGTTCTCCCTCTGGTGGTGCATTCCTTTAATCCCAGCATTGGGTGGGGCACAGGCAGGCATATCTCTGAGTTCTAGGACAGCCTGGTCTACTTAGTGAGTTCTAGGATAGCCAGGGCCCCCAAAAAAGATTTCTCACAATCTGCAACTTGCCAAGTAAGCTAGGCTAACTGGCCAGTTAATCTCAAAGGTCCACCTGTCTCTGCCTACCCAGTGCTGCCATTACAAGTAGAGGCTATCGCATTTGGATTTTTAAATCTTTAAATTTTGTTTTTTCATTATATGTGTCCTGGGGATCAAACTTAGGTCCTCATGCTTGACCAGCACTTTACCATTGATCTTCCCAGCACTTTTTTTTTTAAACAGAGTCAGTGTAGCTTTAGTTGGTTTAACACTTTCTATATTGACAAGACTAACTTGGAACTTGCAGAATAAAGCTGCTATCTCTGTAAGAGGTTGAACCAGTGTGTAAATGACTATAGTAGGTGAATTGAAGGTTTGTATGGTAGCCTACAATAAAACAGAAAAATTAGGCCATACTGTAAGCTTCTCTATGTGGCTTCATAACCCAAGGGACCCAGGCAGAATAAAGATTAATCTAATCAAGTGCTGGGTGGGGAATTTGCCTAGAGAGCATGTCGGGCTTGAAATGGATTCAGGAGAAAAAGGATCAAAGTAAGTAAAAGATAATTCTCAAAAGCATGTTGAGCAAAAGCATCTAAATTCATCAAGTACATACTGTGTGATTCTATTCATATAAGGGTTAGAAACAAGGCTGATGAGATGGGCCGGTGGGTAATGGTGCTTACTACTAAGATAGACAACTTGAGTTTCACTGCTGGAACCATATGATGGAAGGAGAAAACTGATTATGGCAAGTTGTCTTCTAACCTCCATATTTGATGCTGTGGGATGCTCTCACACACACACACACACACACACACACACACACACACACACACACACACACACACACACAATGTAAAGACATGTTTTTAAAGGTTAGAAACAGGCAAGACCCATCTGTGGAGTTAGAAGTCAGGCTATGGTTACCCTTCTGAGGGAAATGGATGGTAGTATTAAGTGATTAGACTTCTCTGATGCTCATAATTGTTGATCTGCTTGAATACATTGTTATACTATGTTTATTAACTACCTCTTGGAGTGTACATTTATAGCTTAAGTAGTTTTCTGTATATTTGTTATACATTATTTATAAAATTAGGGAATACTTGTAATAGAGAAGCTTAATGTATATGGAGGTTCTGTTTACCTATTATTTTGAATTCATTATATAATGTCTAGTTAGATTGTGTATGTTCTTTATATGTTTAGGCAATGCTTGATCACTTTTTGTATGTGTATGATGTACACGTTTGGCATTGCATTGCATGTGGAGGTCCAAAGACAAAACTGTATAGTCAGTTCTCTCCTACCTTTATGTGGGTTCTGGGGGTTGAACTCATTAGGCTTGTGAGGCTACCACTTCTACTTTTTGAGCAATCCTGCTGACTTTTGATCACTGTTTTGATACCTGGAACCCACATGGTGGAAGGAGGTAAGTGGAAAATAGTTGACAGAGATAAACTTACTACAGATGTTCCTTGATTCATGATGGGGTACATCCTGATTAAATCCATCCAGAATTAAAAGCATCCTAAGTCAAACATACATTAAAAACAGTAATCTACTGTACAAAGCTGCATGGTGCATTATGGAGTATCTGTTATTTGTCTTATTTATCCTCATAGTCACATGTCTGACTGGGAGCAGAGGCCTCATATAGTACTAGCGTTGGGAAGGGCTTATTGTGCTGAAATTTGGGAAAAGAGTAAAATAGAAAATTGGAGGTACGGCTTCCACTGAATGTGAAGCATATTGTTTTTGCATCATTATAAAGTTGATTATTCTAAGTTGGGAACCATCTGTAATAGTAGTTAGCCTTGAAGATTGTTTATGTGACAAAATGTGGACATGGAACTTTTACCTTACATCCATTTTAACTATGGGCTACTTGTAGACAATGAATTTTTCAGAAAAGTAAATTCCAGATACTATTTTAAAGACAATTTAATTGAGGGAAATAATGTTGGCTATTGTAAATCTCCAGCATGTGTTTAAAAGAAAAATAGCTATGTGTTGTGGTACAGCTCTGTTATCCCAGCACTAGGTAGGCAGGGGCAAGAAGAGAATTTCAAGGCTGTGGGGCTACATTCCAGATTCCAGGTCATTCTGAGCTGTGTGGGGAGATACTGTGTATTGCAAACAATGGAAGTGGGGGCAGGATATGGGATGAGTACAGACACTTATGGGAGAAACAGGCAAAGCTAATTTATTCTACCCAAAGAGTGAGGCAGATTTTGTTGAACATAGTGAAAAGGAAAGCAGAGTGAATGTGGGCACTTGATTTAACATGGAACTAAACTGTGTCTTGATTTGCCTTTTAGTTGATCCAGAGTACCAGAAGGAAGCAGAACAGAGACATCGAGAATTGGCAGCAAAAGCTGGAGGATTTAATGACTTTGCAACTTTAGCTGTCATTTTTGAACAATGCAAGTCAAGGTATGTGAGCCGATCCTTCATACTGGAAAATGTTAGCCTGATCTGCAGCTCCATTGCATACTTACTGTATATGACCTTAGACATTAAGGTTCAATGGGATGAAACTGGCCTCAAGGTATTTTTCACATCAGTGAGATTTCCAGGATGCCGTCATGTCATTTAATTGGCATTTATTGTATATTGATTCTCCTCTTTCCTAGATTCTTCCTAAAAGTGATTTTTACAGAATTTTGGTTTTAGTACTTAAATATTAGATTAAATAATGAGTAGATATTTGTTAATTCATATGTGTGAAAAGAAGCCTATTTACAAATTATTTTTTAAAATTTAGTCAGAAGACCTGACATTAATTTTTTTGTCAATTTTTTTCTTTAAGAAGATTTATTTTAGGTATATGAGTGTTTTGCCTGCTTGTATGCATGTGTATGTACCACAGGCATGCCTGGTGCCCATGAAAACTAAAGTAGTAGTAGGATCCCCTGGAACTGGAGTTACTAATGGTTGTGAGCCACCATGTGGATGCTGGGAACCAAACTCAGATTAAGTGAGGGACAACAAGTACACTTAACTGATGAACCATCTTCCCAGCCCCTGATACTTTTTTTGTCAAATTTTCCAAAATGCTCTTTTTAGTGTTTCCTTTTGAGGTTTGTTGTGGTGGTGGTTTGGTTGGTTGTTTTTTTGAGATGGTCTCCTGTAGTCTAGGCTGGCAGCAGACTTGCTGTGTAGGAGATTTAGGAGATTACCTTGAACGCCTGAACTTTCTGCCTTTACCTCGCAAGTGCTGAAGATATAACCACCCCACCCTGCGCTACCACACATGACTGGTTTCCATTTTTTGTAAAGGAAATGAAGACTCTTTTGTCTTTCGTTTATGGAAGGTATTTTCAAGACACCAGTATTTTTGTGTTGTAGTGGAGCTCCAGCTTCATGGTGTCAAAAGCATTGGATCCACTGGCGGTGCTTGTTTTCTGCATTTCGTGTGGAAGCTCAACTTCGGGAACTGATCAGGAAACTTAAACAGGTGATTGCTGTAGTTTTTATTGTTTTGTTTTCTTGACTAGCATTTTAAACGTGTCTATGTCATACTGAGTTTTCAGTGAAGTACATTTACATTTGTGCCACCTTCCCTCTGCATACTGCTTTGTACAGCCATCTCTCTCTGACCTAGTGAATCCTAGTAGCTGTAAAGACATATATCTGAAGAAATGAAAATAGTTTTAAATAGTTGTACTGAAGAATAATTGACACATATTAAGCTTCACATGTTAGGCTGGTGAGATGACTCAGCCAGTAGGAATATAAGCCACCAAATCTAATGTCCCAAGTCTGATCTCAGGAACTCTCCTGTTGGAAGGAAAAATCAACTCCCAAAAGTTGTCCTCTGACTCCACACATATTTATGCTTTGTCATGAAGATATCCACCTATCCACTCACCAAGTCAATGTAAAAAATTCTAAAACACTTAACAAAAATTGTCCAGTTTGCTGAGTTTTGACATCTGCATGCACCTGTTAAATCATTACTACAATCAAGACAATAGATCTGGGCGGGTTTAGTGGTACATACCTTTAATTCCAGCACCTTCGAGGCAGAAGCAGGTGGATGAATCTCTGTCAGTTGATGACAACCTAGTCTATGTTTCCAGGCTAGCCAGGGCTCAATAGAACCTGTCTAAAAAAAAGACAAGAAAGAAGAAAGGCTAATAGTACTGAACAGACTGTACAGTGTTCAAGATTATACTCTCTTGCAGAAGAGTTTCCAATACCCACATCAGGTGATTCATAACTGCCTGTAACACCTGCTCCCAGGAATCCTATGCCTCTCACCTCCCTCCTGTACTTATCTGCACGTACTCACATAGACATACATTTACATTTTTTTTTCGAGACAGGGTTTCTCTGTATTGTTTTGGAGCCTGTCCTGGAACTCGCTCAGTAGACCAGGCTTGGTCTCGAACTCACAGAGATTCACCTGCCTCTGCCTAAAGGCGTGTGCCACCACCGCCCAGCTTACATTTACATATTTTAAGATAAATATTTTTAAAATAATATACATACCTGCCAAAGTTTCATGCTATTTTCTGTGTGTCTGACTACGTAGCACTGGCTGGCTAGGAACTCCATATATACCAGAGATCTGCTACCTCTGCCTCCCAAGTGCTGGGATTAAAGGTAATCCCCTTCTAGTATTCTATCCAAAACCAGGATTTAGAGAATTGTTTTGTTTTGTTTCGTTTTATACCACCATTCTTAGTCTTGTGAGATACTAAGCAATCTTATCTTTCTGGGAGTTATCTATTTGGGCAGACACTTAATTACTTTTTGCAGATCTCTGATGCTGTTTTTTAAAATCTGTCTTGAACTTACCCTTTCCTGCAATTTCCAGCCACTTTGGTCTTTTCAGACTCTTGGCTCTGTTTCCTTATGAGTTCTCTGGGTTCTATTTGGATTTCTTTCTTTTTTTAATAATTATTTATATTTTATGCACATTGGTGTTTTGCCTGCGTATATGTCTGTATGAGAGTGTCAGCTCCCCTGGAACAGGAGTTACAGACAGTTGTGAGCTGCCATGTGGATACTGGTAACTGAACCCAGGTCCTCTGGAAGAGCAGCCAATGCTCTTAAACACTGAGCTCTACACCTTAAATTTTTTTCTCTTTCTTTTTTTCTTTTCTTTTCTTTTCTTTTTTTTGGTTTTTCGAAGACAGGGTTTCTTTGTAGGTTTGGAGACTGTCCTGGAACTCTCTTTGAAGAACAGGTTGGCATTGAACTCACAGATATCTGCCTGCCTCTGCCTCCTGAGTGCTGGAATTAAAGGTGTGCACCACCACCACCTGCCAGGATTTTTTTTCTTTCTCAAGACTAGGATGAAGCTTTTATTGGTATTAATTTCCTATCTCTTGGGTCATCATCCTTTTTTTGTTGCCTGATACATGGTATTCTGTCAATCTTTTTTTTTTTTTTTTTTTTGGTTTTTATGAGACAGGGTTTCTCTGTATTGTTTTGGAGGCAGTTGGTCCAGCCTGGCCTCGAACTCACAGAGATCCGCCTGCCTCTGCCTCCCGAGTGCTGGGATTAAAGGTGTGCGCCACCACCGCCCAGCTTGTCAATCATTATTTTATATATTCTCATGTCTTTGGACTATTTCGGGTGCAAGGCTAAATCTAATCCTTCTTCAATGTATTACCCAGAAGTCTTTAGGAATGTGAACTTTGAAAAAAGATTAGATCAAATTGTCCTGTGAGCTTTATCACTGAATGCATATTCTTTCTACAGCAAAGTGATTTCCCAAGAGAGACTTTTGAAGGCCCTAAACATGAAGTACTACGAAGATGTCTTTGTGCAGGCTACTTCAAAAATGTTGCTCGAAGGTGCGCATTATGCTTGAGAGAGTTCATAAACAATACTGTATCTAACTGCAGTGCTAAAATATTTAAAGATTGAAGGTTTGAAATCTTTTCATAATTATCATTATGAACTACAGGGAACTACTGTGATTTAAATTGGGGTACAGGCAGGATAGGAAGAGAAGAACATGTTGGGCAGCTGTATCAGCACCTAAAGCAAATGACAAGAGTTTTTTTGGTAGTTTCATGGCCCCAGGTAGAATGTAAAAGCCAAAAAAGACAGAATGGCATCCCTGGGAAAGCTTAGATATGGACTATCAGGGCTGATTAAGATGGGGAGAAGTAAGGCTATCTTCGTAAAGAAAATAGTAACATTGGCAATGGGAAATTATATAACAGAAAAAGAATCACATAAGTAAATACTAAGGATAATGGTGAAAGAAATTAGAAATAGTCAAAGTTGGCTTGGCAGGCATGGTGGTTTATGCCTGGTCTCCTGGCACTATTATCTGAGAGAGCCTGGGAACAGTGATGCCACTATGAAAGTCAAAAGAGGATGAGCAAGTGTCCCAGCATAAAGGTAATGAAAAATAAAGATGGTTCTGATCCTAAATTGAGTCCTTTTGCTTTAAAGGATTTTACTAGGACATTGGTGGTATATACATCAGTAGGGTCTCAGGATTTGATGTTAGTAATGCATCAGTGTTAATTTTCTGATTTGGTGGTTATATCATAACTAGGAAGGAGAATGGTAAGCATTTGGTAAGAATGGGTGAGGTATTGGGTACTATCAATGCTTTCAGTAAAAAAAATTGTCCTTTATGTTGTAATTTTTTATAAATTTATTTTAGAATGAGATTCAGGAATCTAAGGAAGGATACCCCACATTGACCTCTGACCTCCATATTTACATGCATGGGCATATGCACACACATATAAAATAACTGAAGAAATGTGAGAATGACTAACATGCTGAAGTTACTTTAACATAAAAATATAATTGTAGGGCTAGTAAAATGGCTCAGTGGGTAAAGGTGCTTGCCCTGAAAACCTGGTGAACTCGATTTGAACCCTGGAGCTGAATTAAAGGTAGAAGAATTGACTCCAAAGTTGTCCTCTGGCTTCCACATATAGCAAAGCATGCATGCACCCCTGCTTATACACATTAATACATATTTTTAAAGGTATAAAGTATAAACTCACCAGTTAAATCTCTTCTGTAATCACAGCTTCCTTTCTTTAGCCTTTCAGTGATAAAAGATGTTCTTACTGTATAGATATTCATTAGGAGAATATATAATTTTAAGACAGGCAAGTTATATGGCATCTTTAAACCAGCTCTTGTGGTAGTATTGTTTGTTAAAGTGATTCCTCTTCCCCAGGTAAATTGCTCATTTTAGTAGTAAAACATAGTATATCCCTTATTTTAATTTTGGTCTTCATCCTTTGTTTTTTCCATGTATAGATCTGTTGGCAGAACGTTTTGCACAATGGATGGGCGTGGAAGTCCAGTTCATATTCATCCTTCCTCAGCAGTAAGTACTTTTTTGTTTTTTTGTTTTTTTTTTTTTTTTTTTTTTGAGACAGGATCTGTGTAGCTCAGGCTGGACTCAAGCCCTTTTTTGCCTGTACCTTCCGAGAAGTGAGATTACAAGATTACACCAACTTGCCTTGCAACAAATACCTTTATGGGTTTTCAGGGTTTTTTTTCTCCCCCCATTTCTTTTTTTGTTAGTTTTTTTGTTCTTGTTTTGGTTTGGCTTTTTAGAGACAAGGTTTTGATCAGGCTAGCCTCAGACTCACAGAGATCCACCTGCCTCTGCCTCCTAAGTCCTGGAATTAAAGGCGTGAGCTACCAACGCCCTAGAGCTTTTGCATGGTTTGGGTTTTGTGCGGGGTCTCTCTCTGTAGTCCTGACTTTCCTTATTTCCTTGCGGTAATGAGTAGGGCTGATCATTAATAATTATCCTTAAATGAAATTTTTATGTTCATTTAAACCTTATATTTATTTATAGCTTCATGAACAGGAAACTAAACTTGAATGGATTATTTTTCATGAAGTATTAGTTACCACCAAAGTCTATGCAAGAATTGTATGTCCAATCCGTTATGAATGGGTAAGAGACTTACTACCCAAGTTGCATGAACTTAATGCACATGATTTGAGCAGTGTCGCTAGACGTGAAATGAGAGAAGATGCAAGAAGAAAATGGACAAATAAGGAAAATGTGAAACAGCTAAAGGGTGAGTGAATCATTTATTCTACTATTTTTCTGAAAAGGCGTTTGCATTGTAGACCAGAGGAGCCTTGAAGTTGTGATAATCCTTTTGTCTCAGTATCCTGACTGCTGGGATCATAGGTGTTGTCTTAACTATGACATCATCTTTTCTCAGTGTTTTTGTTTGTTTTGTTTTATAGACACCGTTTTTCTGTGTAGCCCTGGCTCTCCAGGAACTTGCTATGTAGATCAGGCCGGCCTTTAACTCAGAGTTCTGCTTGCCTCTGCCTCATGAGTACTAGGATTGATTAAAGGTGTGCACTACCACTGCCTGGCTCCCTTTTTTATATTTTGTTTTTGTTTTTCCCAGTTTTACTTACTGTTTTTATTTTATCAAATTTTGTGACTTATTACCTTAGAACTTCCATTTTTCCAACAGGTTTTCTGTACAATTAGGACTATAGATGGAAGATAAAAACAATTGTGGTGATGAACTACAATATAAAACACAATTAGCTCACATATATTAAACAACTTTTTGAGGCAGAATGATGATTTAACATCTCTGGGAAATAAATGGTACAAAATGTTGCTCAAGAAGTCACAGAAGGGTTTCTTATTGAGATAGAGCTTCACCATGTAACTCTGGCTGGCTAGACAATTGCTATGTAGACCTAGCTGGGCTTGATTGAATTCACAGAGATCTACCTTTTGCTGACTCTCAAGTGCTGGTATCATCAAGTGCATGCATCACTATGCCTGGCTCATTAAAAGGTTTTTAAATATGGTACTCACTAGATGTTTTATTGCAGTGTTATAATATTGTCCAGTATGCTTGAATTAGGGTTAGTTTTTCTGACTGGTTAACCATAATAAATCTTTTTGTTATTGTTGTTAATTACGTGTGTGTGTGTTGTATATAAGTTTGGGCAGAGGACAACTTGTGGGAGTTAGCTTTCTCCTGTCACATGGGTCCTGGTGATAATTCAAGTTGTCAGGGTTGGCAGTAAGCACCTTTACCTGTTGCCTCATGTACTTTTTGTGGTTGTAGTGGTGCTCCTAGAGTCTTGTTCATGTGACGTATACATTGTTCCACTGAACTTAGCATTCCCACCTGTGTGCTCTTTCAGCCCGACTTTTGAATAGGCAGCATTTAATTCCCTTGTTGATCTTTTTTCTTTAAAAATATATTTGTATATGTATGATGTGTGTGTGCATGTGGGGGTCAGAGGATAACCTCAGTTTTTGGTGCTTACTTGAGACAGGGTCTTTGTTTGCTACTGTGTACTCTAGGCTAGGTGGCTGTGGTACTCCTAGGTATTTTCCTGTCTCTACCTCTGATTTTGCTATACAAGTGCATGCTACTGAACTGTGTTTCTAGCCCTTATTTCTTAATGTTGAAAATCAGGTATATCTTTGCACTGTTTTCAGATGGAATATCAAAAGAAGTTCTAAAGAAAATGCAAAGAAGAAATGATGACAAATCTATCTCAGATGCACGGGCTCGTTTCCTTGAGAGAAAGCAGCAGAGAATCCAGGACCACAGTGACACGCTGAAGGAAACGGGCTAAGCAGTGAACCATCCACTTCAGGAAGTAGGAAAGCAGCCAGGAAATGTGCTTCTGTTTTGCCAGTTATTTCAGACAGTACTGTCAAGTGGAAGTGGTCAGCAGCTGTTCCTAGCCTGTGAGCTAAAAGCAAATCAGAATTTATAAATCACATCTTATCAATACCAACAAATGACATTTTTGAAATAAAAGATTGGGTTGCAAAGTCATAGGCAATGGTACATGAAACCAATGAAAGATGATACAATATTTTCCTCACTTCTGTTTTGCTGGCCTTAACAGGTATCAAACGCTATCACTGAGATATTTTCAAAGAACACTGAATTGTATTTAATCAGCGTGTATTCCATTTGCATTGAACATTAAAGATTATTTTCCTTAAATCTCTTCAAGGCCTTCTTATTACTATTAGAATAGTGTTGTATCAGGTATGTGACCATTTCCTTCAGAAGGCTAAACTTAAGAAGTTTTTACTCAGCAATACTTAGATGTCTAACCATTTAATTGCTCCAGAGCTTTATAGATATTTAAAGATTCAATTAGTAAATAAAATTGCCTATGGCAGGATTCTTTCTTAAATTAATCCTAATCCTTAAATTGATTTTTCTGGGATTATACAAATTCCTTTTTTATATAAAAATATATTGTTTAAAACAGTAGCTATAGCCATTAACCAAAGGACAGTGTATATACACAGACACACACACACACTCACAGTTCTTTTTAACTTCCTACATACTTTTGTCAACCAATGTATGTAGGTGTGACAGTGCTTTCAAGCAGCCCCTCGACCAGGCCTATTCTCTTGACTACAGCTGCTTGGGTAGGACCATTTAAACACATATTATTCTAATCCTGAGATGGGATTTTCAAAGCTGCCAACACTTCACTAGTATTTCAAATCAGAACCTTAAGGCTAACATCATACTCAGGCCACATTCAGCACTTGCCTCCTCTTCTTGTTTACTGCCTTGTATTGTAGTTATGTGTGTATGTCTGTCTTCCTCATTAGATTATACGCTCCTTGTGGGCAGGGTCTCTGTCTTTCACCTTTGTATCTTTCATGGCACCTAGCATCGTGCTTTGCACATAGTAGTCACTCAGTGTTTGTTAAATAAAGCTATTAGTGTCACTAAAACCCAATAGACAGTATGTGGATTTATTTATTTGTTTTTTATTTATTTCTGTACAGCTCTAGTTGGCCTGGCATTGCTACATAGACCAGGCTGGTTCTGAACTCAGAGTTATCCTCTAGCTTCTGCTTCTCAAGAGATATGTACATGCACGCACGCACACCACTATACCTGGTTGGGTTTTGTATCTTGTGTGTAAAAATTAAGTTGAATTTATTAGGTAATTCTATCCTTTGGTGTCTAAAAAGTTTTAAGTTCAGTGGTTAGGTACTTGAAGCCTTTTTGAAAAATTGGTGAAAGCCCAAATCTTGCTTTTCTTTGAAGGTAAGTAGTGATAATTTCTTTGAATGTTTGTAGCATTGTTAATTTGTGCTTTCAAATTGTTTAGTCCTTTCAGTTTTCCTTTTCAGATATATAAGTGCATTTCCTTAGATAATATGGATATGAATGGATTCTTGGAATGGAAGCTCTTTATAATTTTTTTTAGATTTATTTTTATCTTATGTGTATGAGTGTCAAATTGTCTGTATGTATGTCTGTGTAACACGTATGCCTGGTACCTCTGGAGGCCAGAAGAGAGCATTGGATCCCTTGGAACTGGAGTTACAGATGGTTGTGCACCACCATGTAGGTGCTGGTAATCAAACCATGGTCCTCTGGAAGAGCAGCCTGTAAATATTAACCACCAAATTCTGTATCATAGTCCATATTCAAATTTCATTAGTTGTTCCAAATAATCTCAATCAATCAATCAACACCCCCCTCCTCTCAAGCAGAATGAAAGTAGACTATAGAGGAATTCTAGGAGAGAGGAATTCTAAAGGGGCAATATGCCTAATCTTTTTTTGCTGTTATTTCGAGATAGGGTTTTTCTGTGTAGTAGTGGTGTCTTGGAACATGCTTTGTAGACTAGCCTGGCCTTGGACTCAGAGATCTGTCTGCCTCTGTCTCCCAAGTGCTGGGATTAAAGACATGCATCACACTTTCCAGCTATTAGTAATCTTTTAGATTTTTTTTTCCAGTTTGAGATTCAACCAGGGATCATGTGTTATAGTTAGTCTGTTCCTCATATTTCAGTCTGGGAAAAAAATTGTAGTCTTCAACTTTACAGAATTATTTTAAAAAACAAGAAAACCAAGTTATTTTATATGGTGACATTGGTTTTGATTTCTCTCCTCTTTCTTCAGACTGCGTATGTGCATGCACAGCAGTCCACAGCCAGGGGTTGACATCAGGTGTTAACTTCTGTCACTTTCACCTTACTGTTTTGAGGCAAAGTCTCTCACAGAACTTAGAGGTCTTATTAATTGGCTATAATGGCTGGTCAGCAAGCCCCAGAAATCATCCTTCTCCACCTCCCAGTGCAGCTATTGAGCTGCTACACCCAGTATTTTACAAGTGTGCTAAGGATCTGAACTCAGGTCCTCATGCTTACACAACAGTCTACCCAGCCCCACAGTTAGACATCTTTTACTTGAATGTCTTTTTACTTGAATATCTCCTAGGGTATCAGAGCTGAAAGTACATAGTACTTGCCCTTACTACTGATACTAACCTTCATTATACAACAGTATTTTTTTTTGTTTTTACAAGACAGGGTTTCTCTATATTGTTTTGGAGGCTGTCCGTCCAGCCTGGCCTCGAACTCACAGAGATCCGCCTGCCTCTGCCTCCCGAGTGCTGGGATTAAAGGCGTGCACCACCACGGCCCAGCAAAACAGTATTTACTTATAAAACAAAATTTCTTCAACCTACTTCTTTTACAATTCTAAAGTACTTCAGGACTGGAAAGATGGCTCTCTGGGTAAAGGCACTTGGCCTAGTGGAGGTTGAGTTTGATTCCCTGAACTCATGTAAAGGTAGAATGAGATAACTGATGCCAAAATGTTGTCCTCTGATCTCTATATGTGTGCTACAGAAACATATTATGCCTATGTATACATAGTAATAAATATTTTCAATTTAAAATAATTTGAAAGGAAGATACTTTAGGATTATTAGAATATATCACAAACACAAAGATCTTTGTCAATTGGTGATTCTTGCTTGATGGACGTAATTTTTTGTTTTGAAACACTGTCTTGTGTAGCCTAAACTAGCCTAAAATGATTCTTCTGCTTTCATTTCCTAAATGCTGGGATTACAGACATATACCAGCAGACCTGGTTGTATGTAGTGTTGGGGATCCAACTGATATCTCTGGCTCCATTTAATTATTTTAAGGGTGTGTGTGTATATATCTATTATCATCTATCTATCTAAAACTTGTTGGTATTATAAGGAAAAGCATTCCTTGAAGAAAGAACTTTCAGTAAATGTACGAGTTCTAAGTACAACGTGGACCAACATAGAATTAGGAAACACATTCATACATCCACAATTTAAACACATGCGTACATGTGCGCGCGCGCGCACACACACACACACACACACACACACACACACACACACACTCAGGCTGGGGAATGGCTTAGTGGTTAAGAGTACTTTCTGTTCTTGTAGAGGACTATAATTCAGTTCTTAGCACCCACATTAGGTAGATCATAACAAGCTGTAACTCTTTTTTTTTTTTTTTTTTTTTTTTTTGGTTTTACAAGACAGGGTTTCTCTGTATTGTTTTGGAGGCTGTCCATCCAGCCCGGCCACGAACTCACAGAGATCTGCCTGCCTCTGCCTCCCGAGTGCTGGAACTAAAGGCATGCGGACCTCCCCCACCCCCACCCCCATGCACAGACCCAAGCAGAGAGACACATCTCAACAAATAATTAAAACTTAGGGCTGGGTGTGATAACACCTACCCTTAATAACAGCACTGAGGAGGCAGAGGCAGAGGCAAGCAGATCTATGTTTGAGGATGGCCTGGTCTACACAATTGTTCCAGGCCATGCAGGTTTACACAGTGAGATTCTGTCCCTTCAATAAAATAAAATAAAGCCGGGCGTTGGTGGTGCACGCCTTTAATCCCAGCACTCGGGAGGCAGAGGCAGGCGGATCTCTGTGAGTTCGAGACCAGCCTGGACTACCAAGCGAGTTCCAGGACAGCTTCCAAAGCCACAGAGAAACCCTGTCTCGAAAAACCAAAAAATAAAATAAAATAAACCAAAAAACAAACAAAAAAACATTGGGGTGTTGAGAAGGGTGACTAACAGTTTTACTTTGCATATAGAATATATATGCAGAAAAATAATAACCCAAAAATACTGAAATCACAGTTCATGGAAACCTGTGGATTGAGTATTATGGATAAAAAATAATTTTGGTTAGAAGCAGCTTTGAGATAATTTTGATGAGAATATCAATAAAAAATATTCTCTCAATTTCCATTAAAAGGATTATTAAGGGAATGTTTGACCTAGTCAAGGCAAGAAGGTGAACAGATGCTGAGTAACAGTAGTAGTTTTAGAGTGGTTTGCTTTTTTTTTTTTTTTTTTTTTTTTTTTGGTTTTTCGAGACAGGGTTTCTCTGTGGCTTTGGAGGCTGTCCTAGAACTCATTTTGTAGACCAGGCTGGCCTCGAACTTACAGAGATCCGCCTGCCTCTGCCTCCCGAGTGCTGGGATTAAAGGCGTGCACCACCAACGCCCGGCTTAGAGTGGTTTGCTTTTGAAAGAATTGGAATTTGCCTCAAATTGCTACACAAAGGAAACAAATGTTATAGTAGAAAAAGTACATGATCTGTCATTTCATTAAAAGAATGAACTTTTTAAATGTTCTTTTTCAAGAAAAGATTTTAATGAGATTTCTAATCTCTGTCTTTGTTTCTTAGCAGAGCAAGTGAGAGAATACCAGGAATAAACAAATTTGTCTTTTTTCATTTTATTTTGTGTGTGTTTGTGTATGGGCATGTGTATGCTATGGAGTGCATTTGGAGATCAGAAGGACTACTAGTGGAATTTGATTCTCTCCTTCCAGTGTGTGGTTAACAGAAATGGGACTCAGGTCATCAGGCTTGGGAGCAGGCACTAGCATCTACTAAGCCATCTCACTGGCTCTAACAAATTTAAATTGCAATCTTAAGTCTCTCTAGGATGTTAAAATAATCCTTATTACTGTTCAGTGCTCCCTTAAACTTGAAATATAAATTAATGATTGACATGTGAAGCAAGCTTGTTTCTAATTTAAATTAAAAAATCTTTAAAAAATACAAATACAAAATTTCCCATGAGTTTAAAATTGCTCAAAATAATGTGTCAAGATAAAATCCACCTGTGTTCCCTAATGTAAGATTACTTATTTTCACTTAAAACATGAAATGGGATTGGTTAATCCAAACGATCCCCTAGCATCAGATTGGTGTTTTGTTTATGGAAAATACTTGGATATATACTCAGTTTTGTGGTACTGAGGATTGGACTTTGAGCCTTTTGCATACTAGGCACTCTATAACCACCAACAGACATCCCCAGCTCCTGGAAATGTAAATGCTTGTTCTGTTAAATCCAGGTGTGGTTACTGGCATGTTGACATAGTCTTCAAGTTAACTGGGTAAAATAGTCAATAATAGTGGCTGGAGAAAGTAAATGCGTTTTAAGCTAGGTTGCCTAGGAAAAGTAGGATTTAACTGAAACAAAAAGGATAGTTGTTGTTGGTTGTTTTTACTCTTTACTCTTTTGTGGGGCCTGCTACTCAGCTCCCAAATAAATCACAAGGAGGCTTATTCTTTCTTATAAATGCCTGGCCTTAGCTTGGCTTATTTCTAGCCAGCTTTTCTTAAATTATCCCGTCTACCTTTTTCTCTGGGCTTTTATCTTTCTCTATTTCTGTATATCTTTTTTGTTTTTTAATCTCTTACAACATGGCTTGCTGTATAGATGGCTAGGTTGCTGGTCCCTGAAGTCCTCCTTCCTCTCTTGTTCATTGATTCTCTCTCTTTCTCCTATTTATTCTCTCTGCCTGCCAGTCCCGCCTATCCTTTCTCTTGCCTTGCTATTGGTTGTTCATCTCTTTATTATACCAATTAGGTGTTTTAGACAGGCAAAGTAACACATTGTTTAAAAAAATGCAACAAAAG